GAGAAATGTAGCAGGAGATTGACCTATAAACTGTGGAGAAATGTAGCAGGAGATTGACCTATAAACTCAGGAGAAATGTAGCAGGAGATTGATCTTTAAATTGTGGAGAAATGTAGCAGGAGATTGACCTATAAAATGTGGAGAAATGTAGCAGGAGATTGACCTATAAACTGTGGAGAAATGTAGCAGGAGATTTATCTTTAAATTGCGGAGAAATGTAGCAGATGATTGATCTTTAAAATGTGGAGAAATGTAGCAGGGGATTTATATTTAAATTGTGGAGTAATGTAGCAGGAGATTGACCTTTAAAATGTGGAGAAATGTAGCAGGAGATTTATCTTTAAATTGTGGAGTAATGTAGCAGGAGATTGATCTATAAATTGTGGAGAAATGTAACAGGAGATTGATCTATATATTGTTGAGTAATGTAGCAGATTGATGTAGTAGCAGAGGTATAATATTTACTGTACCTGACCAGATCATCCAAGATGGAAGAACAGCAGACGATGTAAAACATCAACAAAAACTAGAACATAATGTGTCACTTTGACACTAAAACACTTGAACCTTGTAGATATTTCCGGTAAAATGCATGGCGTGTAGAATAAGTTTATAAATACTGACGTATTACTCACGTTAAGTATTCGTGTTATGTAAACCCTCCACCATCAAGTTACTAAGTTTAAGGTCAAAAGTATCATCCGATTTGAATATATATTTCCTTTTACAAAACGATAGGTTTCTTCACTCACGACTTATTTGATAATACTGCTATGGGTTGGTAATCAAGTTTGGTTACCCACTAGTGGGTATCACACTGGACGTGGTTTCAATTATCAATCGTTCAATTATGACGTAAATAATTATATTTTTGAACCATTATCTTCCATTGTGGCGACTGCCGCAAGGAAGCTTCGAACCCGCGACCAAGTAGGGAAGAGATAGTGATCGTAGACGGCCAGACGCCGAACTCACCTATACATAGTGGACCTTACAAAAACATGGCAGGTCATATACAACTTAAAACTGCAGCAGAAGTGTTTTACTTGCTCCACTATGTTTGACATCGTAGTCAAAATAACCACATATTTTTTACCAAAACATGCATAAGCTAGATATCGTACACTAATGTAAGCCGAAAAACTCGATGACGTCGTCAAAACCAACCAGTCAGTCCAAATACACACTCTACAGCAATGCAAAGAGTAATCATAAACACAATAACCTACCATCACTTGTCGGGGAGCTTCTACACAAATACTGGCACTGAAATGAAATGTTTGTGTTTATCATTTTTTACATATTAAGTTTTTTTTTAAATAAAACATATGTTTCTGTGCATATTGCGTATTTATTGTAGTTAGTATTCACAATTTGAATTTTTAGAAACAAAAATCAAATTAAGCATAGTAAAAAAAACGGGTTGAATTCTGTACGTAATCCTTTCCACTGTAAATCCTAAGGATCTTACATTCTAAGCTAGAAAAAAACTCCATTTATGTTGCTTTATCTTAACGATTATAATTGGCGCAGTGGTAATTTTTCACTTAAGGTCAAAGGCCATACATTTTCCCAGTATCCTGAGGTACTCCGACTATATGAGATGTACATGTATATAAGAACAGGAGGAAGCAGATGACCAGAGAAAGAGTGTTTCAGATATCTTTCTATNAGGGGGGGGGGCGCTTAAGTACGCATGCAATACCTAGCTCTGTATAATCCCAATTGATGTTTTAAAGGTCCCTATTCCTTGCGCCCCGACTGTGTCGTCTTCAAGGTGGTTCCAATCTGCGGCTGTTCAAAGAAAGAATGTGTTTCTGTATTGTTCCGTATTACTGTTGGGAATTACGACTGTTCTGTTATTGTTCCTGATCGAATTTAGAATTGGTCTTGGAACTTCCGCTGTCGTGTTTTTCTTTTCTCCCGTTAGAAATGAATGAAGTCTTTGCTCGGCATTGATGGGATTTGCTCCTCCACGACCTCTGTTATTTTCGTTTTGATGCTAATGATAGGAGATGCAGATGTTTTGAGGAGTTCTGTCATAAATCCTTCTTCTCTTGTTCTATAGTCAATCTGGATGACACGCGCATCTGGATATAAGATAGCATATCTAGAAAACTTCCGTTAAAAGATTAACGAAAAGGATTCAGGTTAGAGATTACGAGATGGAACGTCCGTTTTGCAAAGACGACACAGGCCCCAGATAGGTGATGGAACAACGACCTCATATAAACGAGGAAGCATATGTTACTATGTATACTATGGCCGCTTCTACCCTTTCTCCTGAACTTCTTCTTGATTTTGGAACCCCAATGCATTCACCGACCGAAGGGTGGTCTGTGCGTGCATGGTTGTCTATTCTTGCATCGTTCCACCTGACGAACGTCTGCAAATACTCGAAAAAAAATGGCCATGTCTTAATCGGTAACGCCCCTGGATTCCCTTTCTTCAAAAATTCCGCACCTGGTAAAAGCTACCTAGGCCAACTTTCGGTTCAGTAGTTTCCATCTTGTCCATGTTCTTTTTCAGTCATTACCCAACTGTCCCTACTTTTCTTGTGCCTTACTCTCCCTTACAGATCTTCCTTTCTATAAAAATTCTTCGTTGGTCTTTTGTTCCGTCCCCTCTCTCTAAATGCTATATCCCCAATTACTGTCCTATGTCGGTCGTTCCGATGATGTCTCGGCACTTCAGATTGTCATCAGCTTGATTTACAGACTGATCCATCGACCTGTTCCCGAGTCTGTTTTTCTGTGTTCCTGATCTTGTCGGCCCTAGAATCAACCGTCTGATCTAAACGACTTTGAACTCCTTTATCACTGATGACAGAAGGTGCTGCAGTACTGATGAACGTATGTAAGGCCCTTTTTTGGCAAAGCTAAGATGCGTAGGTACTGTAACAGTTGATGGATCTCTCCAGTCCTGCAACGTTGTCAGGGGAATCTCAAAATGCAGCAAATACCAAATGAGGCTCGGCAACAGCTAGTCCGTGTTGGAAGCTCCATGTCTTGTACTTCCATAGCAGGCCTGACTTGTCAATCTTCCTCATTCACTCTACCGTGTGTTTCTTGCATAATAACTGATATGGTTGGTATTTTTTAGTAATGCTTCCAAGCATGCCCTTTGGAACATGATGTCAGTTATTCGCAATTAAAAGGATTTTCTCATCTTTGAATTTAATTTGAGCTGTTAAGATATTTGTCCTTTCCATATCATCATTCACCTAGATTTTCTTACCTCAAGTTTCATCCGCGTTCAGGAAATCACCTATCCCGGTGCAGCTAACCCATCGTGCGAGGAAATGTATGCGTGTACATGTACTTCTGGCCAGGTTATCAATATGTGTATTCCTTAGTTATTCCTTCTTATGACCTCTGGTTACCGTCCAGCTTCCTTGATAATGATATTCGACATTATTTCAAGGAGATTGGCAGATATATGGAGCAAAACCTGTTACTTTGCTTTTCTATAGATTTTACCATGATGTCGTAGTATTTTCTAGGCTATCGCCAAACTCGAGCTTTGTATATATCCCGTTGAAGCAAATTAAAGTAGCTGTAAATTTCATGACATACATGTATGGTATCAGATGCATTATTGAGAGAAGAGTTTCAAATAAGTGCCAGCAACAAACCCTTGCCCTTTCCCCAATTAACCTCTCTGTTCAATGAAATCCCTTATGAAAGTCAATATCACCAACGAAGGAAAGCGAAAGGGGAAATTGTCACAGTTTATATATTTAGCTCCTAGTGAGCATGATTTCCATGGCCACTTCAAATGGGAAAAGTTGGAGTAATTAAGGCCTATTTCTGACTAGTTTATAGGGGACCTAAAACTGGAGAGAACTTATATGTTTCTTGATGTGTAGTTTGGGTTCCTCGTCATGTTATGGGTAGAGTATACTTTGAAGGGAATAAGTTAGCATAAGTACAGCCAATACTTCTATGAAGCACGTCACTTCTCATTATAATAAAAACCCGTCTATTTGCTGGTATTCACTCCGTGTATTTGGTGCTCTCTTCACGTCATTTGATTCCCGTTGTGTAGACAGACCGTGTATAAAAGTGTTTGATGGAGCCTGATGACTTCGTCGTTATCTTTTAGATCTAATATTGTGCATATCGAGATTCCTGTCTAGCTACACATATACCAGATCATTCCCTGTAGTTTTTCATACAAACAGTAACCACTCCATAAATTCGTTTCAAATTAACTGTATTTGACTTGGCCAGGGTCAACCGTATTGCATTTGGTCCAAGGTTGAAATCGCGGTTCATCATATCGAGCAGTACAGAATTATTATTTTCTAAAACTAAAGATTTATGAATCTGTTCGATGGGGTAATGCATCAATTATGCAAATGAGACTACACGGACGTTTTCGATTTCAAGTGTCTGAATAGAAAAGTGACTCAAATGGATCATGGTGGGCCTAAATCTTGCATCATATTTAAATGGGTAATTTAATGTAATATTAAAATATGTGTCATTTGTTTTTTGTCTATTTTTTCAATTTAGCTTTAAAGAAATTTAGCTTTAAAGATGTAATCCACAATCTAATATAGTTTGCAGAAATACATGCATCATGTATCATAATATAACTTAATACATAAATCGTTATACTAAACTGATGAGCACGTGCAAATATGGAAATATGTACAATAAGACATGATAAATATATCACACCAAGAAATAATGTTTTGATTAAACAAAAAATCTGCGGCTGTTGTATCCTTAATGCTACAAAATATCGGGCATGCGTAATGGCATAGCAAATGTACTTCCGTCCCTCAGTATTTGTTTACCTTTTTTGACAGTCCCTACTGTCCTACTGGCAACACGCGCTTGCAGTCCGTTAGAAGAAGTAGTCAAATTATCTGGATAACAAAGGTAAGTCATAAACTACAAAATTGACCGTGATACTAATTCAATATTGATAAGATGTTCTAGAATGTGAACAGATATAAATAAAAATGTTTTTTTACATTTGTGGACTTTGATCTGTATTCCAATTTATCAACAAATCGACATGCGCAAAAAAATCGCGGCCGTTTTGTTGTTTTCTATGTTTGTTGATTAAGGCCTACTGCAAATCCATTCGCTTCATGTTGGAGGAGGTATTACACCTATTATGAACTTAGCTGATTATTATTTCATATTCAACTGTAGTCACTGATCACCATGCACAATTTCATGATTTACATAGTAATTTATTCCTGAAGGTCAGAACTTGAATTGGTTAGTTCTGAATTGTGAATAACATCACATATATTATAATACGGAGTTCAATTGGTAACACGGCTTATAATTTTATGTAATAAGTAATGAATAGAATTTAGAAATTTAGATTTGGTTAATGTATTTCTCCTAAATTATTACAAATAAATTAAATAATGGATGATAATTTCTTGCGTGCTGTACATGTTATCAAATTCTCTTTGCAGCAGCATCTGTTGATGCTGCAAAGACAGAGACTCGACCCTTCTTGTAAATACTGCAGTATTGTGTTACTGTACATGCATGTAAATAGATGAAGGAATTTGCTAGTTCTGAATCTGCAGTAAATTTTATCATGTTTAAGTAAACATGTTTGAACATTAATAACTGATAGAAAGAAAGTTTGTAAATCTGCAGAACCCATATTAATTATATTATCATTTTCAAACTCACGATATAAGAAAGGAACCTCAGTGTATTGGTACTTGTCACAAGTTGTGACCAGTTAGTGGGACATATACTATGATCAATACATGTGTACATTAGACAATTGTAGCCATGCAAGTGATATTACTGATAATTAATAAACTAAATCAAAATTCTTCAGATTTTCATTTTCAGTACAAAATAGTTGTAAGGAATTTCATTTGTATAAAGTATCATGAATTGACAAGCAAACTAATCCTAAAACCCATACTTACAGCACAATAATGTTTTGTGACCTGTTTTGTTTACATTATTCCACTTGATCTTTCAACAAATAAAATGTGTTTTGCTTGAAGATGAAGACCTGTATTACATATGCCATGCCACCTTTCGCAGATTGAAAAATCAATATGTCATAATTATGATGCATGCAGACAGGAATTCTTTAGGAGTCCTGACCCTCCAAATCTGGTCTGGGACTTGGCTATACGTAGAGCAGGGCTCGACACTAACACTATATGGCTATAATCATCTTGTCCAAGACCAATAGATTTCAGCAATGACTATAGTGAATAATTTTATTTAACTGGTCCTTTGGAAGTCACAATTGTTAAAATATTATGAAGTCCAACATTATCCTTTGATAAATATATAGATTATAATGTAGCGACCTGATGCTCAATTGGTAGAGCGTCCATCTATAGTTCAGAAGGTCCTGGGTTTGAACCCCTGTTAGGCCATTGCGTTTCTCTTTCTCCTGTTACAAATTTTAAAGTTGGCGCTCATTGAAATGTACCCACAGAAGGTTGGGTAGGGTCTTTTGTGTTTTAGGAGTCGACAACGGGAGCGCGTCTGACCGTCTGGAGATCTGAAGGTGCTGTGCACCTTGTAACCTCTGTCTGGCCGTTGCATTTCTCTGTCTCCTGTAACAATAAAATAAGAATGTTCCTTTAAGAAAACTGCTGAAAAGACATACATTTGTACATCGCATGATTATTATCAATTTTGTTCTAAAACTTCATCAATGTTTATGGCAGTGGTAACCTGTGTTCCCTACATATACTCTCACAGTCAATAGCATAAGATGTTTATGTTTCGTGATGTTTCCGTAAAGAAATGTTAGACTTATACTGGTAGTTACATAAGGACTAGTTCAAAATGTTCAACTTGTCCTGTGGACTAGCAGGCACAGATAGTCAGTGTCTTACCCTATAGAGGTCACTTTAATAAAACAATTTGACCCATTCTCTGAGCTGCTTGCCGCATGGCTGCATACACATGTAGGGCAGGATCCAGTCTCATGGCTGATCCAGAAAAATGTGAAAATACATGTTTTTTAAANGGGGGGGGGGGGGGGGGGGGGGGGGGGGGTAAAGCCAAAAAAACACCTCTGGATCTGACACTGAGTCTGTATTTCTAGTATATTCATGTCAAACTACACGTAAAGGAATGAAAGCCTGGCAAAACTTTGGCCAGTCATGAAAAATCAAGGCTCAAAATCATTGGAAGTTTTGGTAATTACCAAACAAAGAAAAGTAAATTAATTGATATTTTGATATTTCAAATCTAGAAATCCTTAAAATAATTTCATACACACACAGGGTCATGTCTACAGGTAATGGAGTTACTTTGATACATGAATAATGAAAAGGGAAAAGTTAAATCGAGCAAAGCAGTTTCAGTTGAATTTCTCGTACTTTCTCCCTCATTGGAAATGTGGAATGAGGGAGATCTCCCTCATTTGTCCGATATGCATATATATATATTCACTTCATGTATTAGTCAATGATGATTTGTCCGGTCTACATTTCAGCTTATTGGTCTCACTCAGTCGTTTGTTGTTAAATTTTCTGTTCTCCGCTATGTTCATTTTAAATGATAGAAATAGTAAATATCAATGCCAATAAAATTAATAATTCAAGTTAAGTTTTCTAACTTGAGAAACTCTATGTAATGTCATATTTACCTTCTATGTTAAACTCTTCACACATATATATATATATATATATCCTCACCACAAAGTTATCAGTCAAGTGACAAGATTATAAGCCGGCAGCATGATCTGTGTCGATGATACTCTTGTAATGTCCCGGGGCACTGTACATGTCCTGATTTGGTATCTATAGATACCTGTCTGTAGTGAATCTCCAATAGAAAATTGCCAACAAGTATATATTACCCTGTGTTATACGATACAGTGTTAGTTTAGAAACAGTGCTGTCATGATTTCAGACACAAAAAATATATGGATTCACATGTACATATTCATGTTTTTTAAGCGTCGCGATCCCTGTGTATGTTTCATTTTTAAAGAGATCTTCATGCCAGGCTCTCGAGATTTCTGTTTATTCCCTTGCCTGGTAATTTTTTTTAATTAAGACTGAGGTATATTCGATCTAGTTCTTATATAGGAATAGCCACATTGTAAGTGGCTAAGAAATCCGTGAGAGCTACTAGACATGGGACCCTTGACCTGAGATTAAAAAAAGTCCTTCCTACTTTGCTATTTTCTTCCATATTGACTAAAATTGCTGCAAAATGGTCCATTTTTCTCTGTGCCAAGGATTTTCCTCGGGGCCATATTGATTATAATTGGTATGTAGATACTTATGTGATTGGAGTCTATATGTATTCATATTGATTCATATTTCTCGTTACAATCTTGTTGCTTCGCCTTTGCAGATTGATTTTAATATGTATCTGATGTATTTATGTGGTTTCAGTAGGGAAAGCATGTTGGGCAAAAGTCAGGATCCAGTGTCAGGGCCTGCCCAGAGTGAGGATGTCCACGATCAGGGCCTGTCACGCACAGAAAGGATAAAGGCCCAAGGAGTCACACTGATGGACTCCATCAAAAAGGGTCTGTTCGTGGTGGGCACTGCCATGATTGTTTTCTCGGCTTTCAGGAACTCTGTGACATGGTGAGTGTTAGCTTGGCCAGCAGCTATTTTGAAATGTCATCTGGAATGAATATTTGAAGCAGATACATCATCAGTGACTTTTCATCCTGGCTGTTGCAACACGGTAGAAACACTGTTTTATTCACAAGGAAGGAAGCCAACTAAATGTTATAATAATTAATGGAATTCTCATTTCATTGGGTTAACGGAAGTTTGAATAGACATGTACATACCGTATTTATTCTGCAATAAGCCCAGGGGCCAACACATAATCTCTGACTGAAAGTAGGGGGTGGGCTTATTACAGGAAAACACATAATCTCCGACTGAAAGTAGGGGGTTGGCTTATTACAGGACAACACATAATCTCTGACAGAAAGTAGGGGGTGGGCTTATTACAGGACAACAACACATAATCTCTGACAGAAAGTAGGGGGTAGGCTTATTACAGGACAACACACATAATCTCTGACAGAAAGTAGGGGGTGGGCTTATTACAGGATAATGACAAAGCTTTTGTTGGCAATTTTTCCTAACTGCAATATATATTGATGGGCTTATTACCGAGCATGGGCTTATTGCTGGATAAATACAGTACATAACCATATAGAAACACATAAACAAACTGGTATGTGGTATTTATTATACAATCGTGTGTGTTTGTTATTAGAGCCCTTAATTAGACATGTTCGTAAATTTATAATTAATTACTCCTTTTCTGTTGCATTCCGTCACATGTTCTGTCGTAATTCAGTGACATTGCTCTAGAAACCTCATTTCTTCACTGGTTTTGATCAAAATTATATTCAAAGGTCAAGTATGAGAATACCTCAAATGTAAAAAGTTTTTCATGAACAAAAGTTCAAGGTCACCTTTGCTTTTAAGCAAATAACGCTAATTTGAATGGGAGCAGGGGTTTATAATTTCTAGCTTCCAAAACAGTCAGGAACAATAGCCAAACATGACAGATATTAATTAATGAAATAGTCTTCAGGTAGCTGATGAAATACCGGAAAAAAAGATTTCCTGATGCTAGGCAAAGAAAAAGGTTATTCAGAAAGGTTATTCAGATTTGTTTTTTTTATACGCACGTCGAATTTGACAGAAGTATAATGGTTGGGGTTGTCCGTCCAGCGTAAACTTTTGTTTGTCTGGCAATCTCCTACATTTTTCGACAGATATCTTTGAAACTTGGTATACATTATAATCATGATATGAAGTTGTGTCTCCCTTAAAAGAATTTTGATTCAATTTTTTTTCCAAAAGTTATTGCCCTTTGTTCATTTCAGTATTTTATTTTTTGTCCGGAGATCTCCTCCTACATTTTTTGACAGATTTCTTAAAATTAATTTCATAAATATTTATGATATGTTGTTGTGTTTCCGTGAAAAGAACTTTGATTCAACAATTTTTGCAAAAGTGATTGCCCTTTGTTTATTTCAGTATTTGATTTTTGTCCGGCAACTGCTCCTACATTTTTCAGCGGATCTCTTTGAAACTTGGTATACATTATAATCATGATATGAAGTTGTGTCTCCCTTAAAAGAATTTTGATTCAACAATTTTTGACACAAAGGTCTTGCCCTTTTTTCAATTAAGTATTTTATTTTTTGTCCTGAGATTTTCTCCTTCATTTTTTATAGCAGGTCAGCTAACAAATGCACTCTTAGAATGATCCAGATCTTATTTCATCGTAAGAAAGTATATAACACTATATGGCATTCAACGGCCATATATTGTTCCGCCCCGCGGTATTCCTGTTTTCATGTTGTTAAAGTTAAAGTCCGATTTAATTCTTGATATATATAAAGCTTGGTCTACATTTGTGTACATTCAAATATTTATTTAAATAAAACCTTTGCGAACAAACAGATTTATTTTTGTGCCAAATAACTAGAGAAAATGTTCTTGTCAAGACAGATACCTTAGACCAGCAATAAGATTCTGCAATTGTCAGCTTGTTATTTATACAAGCTTTTATTGAAATATAGGCTCAACCCAAGAATGAATTTTAAATCCTGACTACATGTATACTAACTGTTACTTGCAGGCATCTACAGAATGTGTGGGGAGCATCAGGATATTTCTGGCAGATTTCGTGGGATTCTATCTATCATCTGTTTGGTGATAACGATATATGGCTGGGAACTGTAGGTAATGTTTTAGTAAATATTCCAGTGTCTTTATCATTGCCTATAGATAACTTTGCTACCAAAATGTAAGCCCCAAAGATCATATTTATATGCATCTATATACCGCAAGACGATTGTTTTTGCTGCGTTGGTTTATTTTGATTTATTTAACCCTTTCAACACTGTAGACCATAATGGACACATCCATATCAATGAATGGTAGAGGTTATTAAAGTTACATAGGGGTGAAAGGGTTAATAACTTGATGTTAATTGCCCTATCAATTCATACAGCAACACAAATATCTGTTTTGCCTGTTTTATTAATTATTCATAAATAAATAAGTATATGTTCATCTGTCTTCAAGTTCCATGTACAAGTGGATCCGGGTGAAAACCCCATCTCTTAAAGATGGCGGACCATGTAAATCTATGATCTTTCTGAAAAAATATTCAGAATATATATATATATATATGAAGCTATGCAATTTAGCATCCCCAACCTCAAACTTGATTTCAACACAAAAAACTGTGCAAATTACTTGGTACTTGATTTTTTTACGGTTATTGTTTTATTTACTGGAAAAAAAATAGAGAAGGGAAAAGAAAAGAGAGAGATATTTTATGTTGAAGCTGCAGATTAGTTTTAGTTTCTACAACGTCCCCTAAGTAAAAGGCACGGAAGAAAGTCTCTTGTGGGGGGACCGCATCAGTCGCACCATAAATCACAAAGTGGGAAACAGCAGGTAAACCTGCACAGGTCGTTGTCTTTGTCAATGACTACATATAGTGAATTAAGTCAGAGATAGAAAAACAGAGCTGCAGCACTGCAAGTACAATGGAACTTGAAAGTTTGATAAAATTACTCAAGGAGATACCCAAATCCAAAGAAAGACATGAACACCATTAAATCTCACCTTTTTTTACTCACAAAGTTTCAAAATTTCAAAATAAAGTTTGCAAAAATGCAAGAAATAAAAATCAGTACAGTGTAAAAAACAACACCACTAGCATTTTCCAACAGCCAGCTGTGTACAATCTAACCAAGGATTCCCTTGTAACCAAGATCTGACCAAAGTTTGATGTCCCACTGTGTGTGTCAGATTATATACAGGTTTCAATCATCATCATATGTATTTTTTCACTCAATTTGGTGACATGTTTATGGTTATGCTAGTATGAGAATTAGAGGAAGAGCGATAACTCTTACATTTCTTTGTAATGAATCTTAGAACTCTTTTGTGTTGAAGTTGAGTTTTTGGAAAGAGAAAAAAGACAAAATCAGAAGAATACTGTTTGCTCTAATTTTGCCACCTTTGAGCTAATTCCCCTCAAATAACACACATCATGGTGGAGAATCCTAGATTTGTTAAGATCTTCACAGAGGCGAAGCAGCTCCACAGATTTCCAGAACGTTTGCGCTGATTCCCCCCAAACACGCATCATTGGACTGATTTACATGTATGATTGATATTCAGGTTCAGGAATCAATTTGTTTTAATTTTCTCCATTTTTATTTTTTTACATTTACAGGGACTACTATATTCACATTTGTCGTGTTCTGGGCTGGAAACATTTTGCTGCTAGTACTGGACACGACAGGCTGGCCAGGCTTTCTGCTGAAGTACAAGATACAGGAGGATAAAAATGTCCCTGTAAGTTTGACACACAGCATAAGTGTGTACCATGTCCCTATGATTACTGTATACAGGGACATCTCCAATGCAGTTAAACTTTTACCTTTTCATACTTTTCTAAAAAAAACAAAATCTTAAGGGGGAGATTACACATAATTTAAAACATGAATATAATATGTGTATGTTCACTCTAGGGAAAATAATATTTAAAAAGACATCTTTTGAGCTGTTCCTTCAGATGGATGAAATCGTCAGATCTTATTAAGAAAATTCAAAATGCTCAATTTTAAGTCCAAAATCTGGAGTCCCTCTCCAAAATAGGGAGATTTGATTATAATCGAAAATTAATCGGGTTGCCTTTTTCGATTTCGGTTATTGATTACAAATTTCATAATTGATATAACTGGTCCATTATAGAAATCAAAGTGTCTCATGTTTACAATGTAAATTGATATAACTGGTCCATTATAGAAATCAAAGTGTCTCATGTTTACAATGTAAAGTATGCATTGAGTCATTTACTCTTATCATTTTTACTAAATGAATGACAAAACTGCAATAAAGTTGCTTGAAATCCATTCATTATAACAGAATGAAACTTAATGTATAATTTACAGCTGAAGAACAAAAGAACAGGTTCATATTTAGTTTGTAGTTTGAATTTCCCCTTCAATGCAATATCCAGAATGCCCCTAAAATCTTTCTCAAGAACTCAATTTCATATGATTCTCATAATAATTTGATGTTTGTGAAATAATGTATGTATTTCCTTGGCCAGGTGGACAGGAAGAAGCTGATTAAGGCTGTGAACCAGGTGCTCTTCAATCAGATAGTTGTGGGAATACCATTTTGCTATGTCTTCACACGCTTTATGATTGAGCGAGGGTGCCAATTCCACGGAGACCTTCCGTCCTTCACCTGGGTTCTCCTGGAGCTCATCATCTTCTCCCTTGTTGAAGAGGTGGGCTTCTACTACAGTCACAGGTGGGTATCGTTACAGCTCCCCCTAGTGGTTAGACATATAGCTCCCCCAATGGTAAAGGTGGATATCCTTACAGCTCCCCCTGGTGGTTAAACATATAGCTCCCCCAATGGTAAAGGTGGATATCCTTACAGCTCCCCCTGGTAGTTAGACATACAGATCCCTTTAATAGTAAAACTTACAGCTCCCCCTGGTGGTTAGACATACAGCTCCCTCAATGATACAGGTGGATATCCTTACAGCTCCCCCTGGTGGTTATACAGTTCCCCTAATGAAAAACTTACAGCTCCCCCTGGTGGTTAGACATATAGCTCCCCCAAATGGAAAACTTACAGCTCCTCCTGGTGGTTAGACATACAGCTCCCCTAATGGGAAACTTACAGCTCCCCATTGTGATTAGACATATATGTACAGCTCCGCTAATGGAAAACTTAGGCCAAAAAAATAATTACTTGGTTCTCAGGCCAATTTTTTTCAAAAGAGATGCGGCAGGGAGGTAAAAAAATAAATTTCATTTTACATGGCAAAAACGAGACGGGTCGATTTTTTTTTATTGTGTAGTTTGTAAAACGTTCATTGTGGGCATTACCTTGTCTTTTTATAGTTGTGTAGAGACCAGTCATAGAGCAAGCCTCCGAAAATCCCCCCACGATGTTCCAGACGTGAATCATGAACCTTCCCCATTCCTTATTTGTACCGAAATGAGCGCCATTTGTACACAAGACTAATAAGTCATAATCATTTTAACGCTTGCCTGTCCTTCTTTATTCAAACGTTTTCGGGACTTGGGCACAATTTTTTTTTATTACTTTCACGATAAAATCGGCAATGCAGTGCCCTAAAATGAAATGTGCGCAGGCCTGAGAACCAAGTTATCAAATTTGTTTGGCCTTACAGCTCCCCCTGGTGGTTAAACATACAGCTCCCTCAATGGTACAGGTGGATATCCTAACAGCTCCCCCTAGTGGTTAGACATACAGCTCCCCTAATGGGAAACATACAGCTCCCCCTGGTGGTATGACATACAGCTCCCCCTGATGGTAAAATTTCAGCTTCCCCTGGTGGTCATCCTCATGTAATAGTATAAAGGAAATAGTGAAAATGTATGTATATAGGGCAAGGATGTAATTCCAACACTGTAGACAATTTTTTGGAGCAATCCGCTCCTCTATCGCAGAATAAAACACAGAACACTTACATTGCCTTAAAATAAAATACAAATATAATTATAATAGGATATAGCTTATACTTAGAAGTTAAGCTGCAGACAGAATTTACATTGTCTGCATCATTGACCAATGATACGGTGCTTGTGTAAGCGACGACAAAGACATCTATGATATATTGGGGTGAAAATGAAGCTTGAAAAAGATGCTGATGCTGGAAAAAACTGACACAAGGATTCATTAAGTGATGATAAAGTTTAAGTATAGAATTCAATCTCTGGAAATATCTTTCTATACATCAAGTTTTGAACTACCTTCAAACTTCAAAGTCTTATCGTAAGGAAAAACATTGAAAATTTTTAACTAATAAATTGAAGGAAAGGAATTACTTTTTAATTGCATTAAACCCAATGTTTATAGATTTCAAATGAATATTTTTACCATGTGCTCCATGATCACTTGATCAAACATGTGAAACGACTTTGACACTTTGTGCAGTGTACATCCTTTACAATACTTGCTTTTGCTTTTGCTTTTCCTTTATACTCACATATCCTTTTATACTTCCCTCAATGTATTGCCAATGTAACCCCTTTGTAAAGCCAAAAGTAGTCCTGACAAATGGTGGCAGTATAAGAAGGTTTTATGGTATATTATGTATTAAAGTAGATTACGATATTTCTCCCCCTCCAGGTTATTCCACCACCCAAAGCTGTACCGATTCATCCACAAGCGTCATCATGAGTGGACGGCCCCTATTGGGATCATCGCACTGTACGCTCACCCATTGGAACACTGCATCAGTAACCTCGCCCCCATCGCACTTGGCCCCGTCATCATGGGCTCTCATGTCGCCACAGGATGGATGTGGTTTGCTCTTGCGCTTTGGTCTACGACAGTGTCACACAGTGGATATCACTTCCCAGGACTACCTTCCCCAGAGGCTCATGACTTTCACCATTTCAAGTAGGTACCCACACTGAGTAATTTGTCAAATAGAAATTGATTCATTTATTTTCGAATTTTAAAAAGAAATTCCACAAAAGCTTGTTTTCTTATCACAATCTGAGAATAAGCTTCGGTTACTATAAAAACAATTTCAAGATGTGAAAAGTTGTATTTCTTCAAGCTCCAATAAGTTATGATCTGTCTGTGGAGCAAATTTTAATACAGGTGTTATTTTTTTTATGTAAAAGTAACAAATGTGCAATTTTTAAAAAAATGTTTTTGATGTATACAGATTTACACAGAACTTCGGAGTCCTTGGGGTCCTTGATCGCCTCCATGGTACTGACAACCAGTTCCGTGAGCACATTACGTATAAACGCCACATCCTTTTTCTGAGCTCTGTTCCCATGTCACAGCAGTTCCCAAATCCCACTGATGCCAAGGGCAAGTAACTCTATCAAGGGAGCTAAATGCTGTCACGGATCGTTCGTCTTGGAATCGGAAAATGATAGTACGTCTACGATCTAGTTTGGAGTTCGGATGTCAACGACAATGGTTCAGTGAATGAACATGTAGTATGTCACAAAATGAAAAATGAAAAATATTGATTTATCTGGCATTTGATTTTTCAGGGTTCTAGTATATCATAATATACTTAGATTAGCACATTCCAAAGTAAAGCAAATCAATCTTTTCTGGTGAAAAGTTTAATGTTTTGGTGTCCATGTACAGGGAAAATTCTGGAATTTCAGAGCAGTGGGCCATTTTCAGCAATTTTTATTCAATATCAAAGTTAAGAGGGGCCATTCTATGTAAAATTAAAAGAATATTGGAACTTCAAGGGGTCAATTTCAGTTTTGAGGGGTCAATGGCCTCATGGCCCTCTCCAGGACTATCCCTGCATGTATAGTTTTGTGCACCAGTGTTCTTGCAAAACTGGCAAGTACATCATGTATAAAACAAAATGAATATTAGGCCAAGTCATATATATCAAGTCATGAAAGAACTGAATATCTTGAATACATATTGTGCATGTTTGGCTATGTACATGTCCGTCGCGCTTGTTATAGTGATATCACAGATTTGTCAATTTATTTTTTTCGGAATTGTATTTTTCAAGCGATATTTAATGTGCTTGTAAAGATCTACCACTGAATCTTATTGACAGTGTCTAGACTAAAGTCTGTGAACTTCTCCAATGGTGTCTTGATCTGATCAGTGTTTGTATGTCACCGACAGTGTCTAGTTCAATGTCTGTGTTTCCTTGTCCAGTGTACATGTTTGGTGCTAATGTTTATGATAATGTATGTGAGTTCAGCTGTTTGTTCTCCGTAACTTACTTATAGACATGGACAGAATTTGTGATCTGAAATTTCAGTTTATTTTATTATTCATTCAGGTTTTTACATGACAGAAATTTTAAGCAGAATTATTTTTTCGTTTACAGGAAAATTACCAATTGATGTTTTGAATTGTAATATATAACATTTATAATTCATATAATCAGGGCAGACTCTAATTATTAGTAAAGATTTGAGACAATTTAAGAAAGTAGTACATGTATACATTTACATATATGAAAAATACAGGAAGTCAGTATCTATAATAATTTAAAGTAGAAAATGTTTTTTTTGTGTTTTTTTACAAAAACTGGAATTAACTAGTGGTTTATATGTAGGTTATCTCCCTTAAATTTACCATGCTACATTATGTATATCTAGGTTGTGTTGGCGGTGGATTTCATGGCTTCCTAAGTTAGGTACATGTTTTGACAAAATTTTGTGAAAAAATGAAAATTAAATCATGCTAAATGTACCTTGTATTATAATTTAAATTGAAGGAATTTGTAGAAATATTTCGATATGAATCTTTTATTGCAACAGTAATCAAACCTTACTAGTCTGGGAAATTTTCTTATGTGATGTTGAAGTGAAAGTATACATATTTGTATGTTTCTAGTCCTTTTGTATCGGAACTGTCTCCATGGTAACCAAATAAAATAGGGAAGCTGATTTACACCTTTCTTAGTAATTTGGTATTATTTACTGTGAAAATATAAAGCATCAGGATGTTAAAGGTGCTTAAAATGAAAGTTTTCGATACAATCACTCAAAATAATGAAGTTGTGGAAGAAGTGTCAATTGGCGAAGATTTATTAAAATAGTAATATGATTGAGTTTTAATTTAGGTTAGAAAAATATTTGGGTGAAATCTAGCTGATTGACAGGCAGTGTTTCGTTGCATCCTGATTCCTCAATCGACGTGACAGTGAATATACATGTAGGTGATATCACTCCCAATTTTATCTTGATTGCCTGTTTCATGCAAAAAACATGTGCTTTTGTTTGTTATGTAATAACCTGTGTAAGACTGGAGTTGTATAGTAAGATGTTTTATCATCTAGGTAGTAGATCTACTTATAGTGTTTGATTTGCTACTAGACATGGGCCCACTTGTATAAAACATCTCAAAGTTGAGGAAAATCTCTAGAAATGTATTGTCTATGGGAAATCTTAGACTTGAGGAAATCTCAAGAGTTGAGATGTTTTATACAAGTGGGCCCAGGGTCTTGGTGTTATTGTGTGAAACTTGTTCTGGGTAGTAACAATTATAACTTAACTATTATTCCTAGTGACAGGTTTCTGTAATACCTATCAACTTGGTTAAAGTTTTTTGTTTCTTAGGTGTGCAGTAACATGTTAAAATCTTCTGGAATGCTTGCTGTGATGTTTACAGCTTATTGGATGTTACTGTGATGATGTTTACAGCATCAGGATTTTTACTGTGATGTTTTTTACAGCTTTTTTGGGATGATTACAATGATGTTTGAAGCTTCAGCATTTGAGCATGTGTGGCATGATGTTGTTAGTGGCTTGTGAAATGTTCACTAAGATGTTGTTACAGCATCAGGATGTTTACTGAGATGTTGTTTACAGCATCAGGATGTTTACTGAGATGTCGTTTACAGCATCAGGATGTTTACTGAGATGTTGTTTACAGCATCAGAATGTTTACTTAGATGGTGTTTGTAACATCAGGTTTTTTACTGTGGTGTTATTTACAGCATCAGCATGTTTACTGTGATGTTGACAGCATAAGGATGTTTACTTAGATGTTGTTGACAGCATCAGGATGTTTACTGTGATGTTGTTTACAGCATCATAATGTTTACTGTGGTGTTATTTACAGCATCAGCATGTTTGCTGAGCTGTTGTTTACAGCATCAGGATGTTTACTTAGATGTTGTTTACAGCATCAGGATGTTAACTGTGATGTTGTTTACAGCATCAGGATGTTTACAATGATGTTGCTTACAGCAGCAGGATGTTTACAATGATGTCATTAACAGCATTAGGATGTTTACTTAGATGTTGTTTACAGCAACATGATGTTTACAATGATTTTGCTTACATCATCATGATGTTTACAATGATGTTATTTACAGCATTAGGATGTTTACTTAGATGTTGTTTACAGCATCATGATGTTTACTTAGATGTTGCTTACAGCATCATGATGTTTACAATGATGTTGCTTACAGCAGCAGGATGTTTACTGTGATGTTTAAAGTTTCAGTCTACTAGGATGTTGTTAATGGCTTCTTGAATGTTTACTGTAATGTTGTTTACTGCCTAGGATGTTTACAGTGATGGTGTTAATGATATTTGCAGTACAGAACGATAGTGGATTGTTGTTTAACCAGTCATATATAATACAATAATATAATTGTCAGCATGTTGGTTGTTATCAATGTAACAATATCTCTTTGTATTAGTGTACAATATCATCTAGTGGAGTGTAAGCATGTAAGCTTTAAAATACACAGCTGCATTTGTTCAATGGACTTATGATGTGAAAAGCTGATTTTTTCTGGCATTTGATTAATTATCTTTAAAATTATCAAGGATATAAATGATCAAACTTAAATAAAGCAGCGACAAAATAGCACAAACAAAGCTGAACCTCACATCTACAATGGTACTTTCAGTTTTTCAATGCTTGTGGTGGGCAAATGATAAAATGTTAAAGGAATGGAGCCTATCAATGTATAAGTTTATTTTAAATATCTTTTCTGCAAAACTTTTCCCCTAAGCTGCCTGAGAATTGGCCGGTATGCGCAACTCACAGATCGACCTGATGCACAATATCACATATGCATGTCGGTTTCCAGTTTCCTTGTTTACAGGTATTTTTGAAATTACTTCAGTATTACTGCATTTTGTATTTACGCTAGATTTTTACAGAATATTTTTTTTCTTGGATGAGTTACACGAGATTAAGTACCCATATACAGTAAAGTTATTATGAGGGATGGGTTGTAGCAATATTTAGTAATGATGTTTTGAGGGCTTAGTTACAAGAGTAATGCTGTTTTCCTGGGGTCTTAATTTACCACAGTAATATTCAGTAATAATAATTTTATGGGGCTGGTAACAACATGAAAATGATGTTAAGAGGGGTTGAATTGGTAAATATTTACTGTAGATAAAATAAGTTATTGATTACCAAGTTGGGTGATTTAAAAAAAAAGAGAGATATAGTGAAGGTTTCTAGATTTGTTTGGCAGTGACACACAGATTCATGTTTTATTAATATGCAATATAATGGCCATGTTGTCTGTGTTTTCAATGATATTGATATGTAACACATTCATTTCAAGGGATTGAGTCCTGAAGTCATTATTTGGGATTTTTTTTATTTGCATAAGATACTATCACTTTCAGAGATTTTAGAATTTTCAATGGTTGATGCATATGAATGAATATTTATGAACCAGAAAAAATGCTTGATTTAATGTTAATGAATGTCCTTATTTGGATTTTTTTTTATATATATATATATATATAGGAGTGTTTGAAAGCTATCTCATAGTTGATATGAGGTTGAGACGTTCGTCTTTTTTGCAGGCCTTGAATATTATTGGCCCCTAGACGCTGATTGCTCAGCCGTTATCTTCATTATGCATCGTCTTGCCTAAGTTATGAAAGACAAACATCAGAAAATTTAAGTAAAACAGTACATCATATGGACATTTTCAATTGAGAACCACAATATATTTAAACAGAGATGATGTGTTCAACCCTAACCCTAACCCTGACCCTGACACTTTTCTGGCGTACACATTACAAATTTATATAGAATTACCACTTATCAATGCAATCGATTGATACTTTTTGATGTTTTTTCTTTATCATATAATTTTTTCCCATGCTTCTTTATTAATTTGTTTATTTAAGTTCCTGTTAATAATAATGTTGTATTATTTTATTTTTTATTTAAGTTCCTGTAAATAATAATGTTGTATTATTTTATTTGTTTATTTAAGTTCCTGTAAATAATAATGTTTTATTATTTTATTTTTTATTTAAGTTCCTGTAAATAATAATGTTGTATTATTTTATTGCTTAAGTTGATAGTATCACATCTGTATCCAATAACTAAGTCAAGATTTGATTCCAAATTACCTCGTTATTTCCACTCAAAATTTTCATCAGAGCAGATTTGATGCATAATCTATGCAGTGGATATTTTTTTCGTCTGAGTTTTTGATATTATCACGGAATTAGATTATCTAAGTCCGTGATATTATTAATAGGGTCTATATTTTGAAACTGAATAAGTGTTCACAATATTTTTCATAACTGTGGAATCATTTATAATTTGTATGACTGCAATATCAGAAAATTTCAAGGCATTATCAGGTCCACATTCATGTCAAAACGTTTTTGAGAAATTTCATGACAATGATTTTTTTTTGTATACTCTTTAAGTATTTTTCTTCACAATCTTGTGATTCTCCAATCGATTATGATATAATAATTGTCTTCATAAACTAAATTTGCTGTCATCTGCACTGATCAAATCATTTCAAGATTAATGACATATTAAGTGAATTTTGAGAGAGAAATTTATCTGGTTCCCCAACAAAAATCCATCTGAATGGCCATTTTGAATCTCAAAACACATTGTTCTTGTTTAAATTTTGAAAATTATGAAAATAATCTCTATTTGAAGTTTACCTTACAATGTCATTTTGATAATGTAACTTAAGAATTCATTCCTGTACAGTGCTAATTAATAATGGTTTTTTTTCATTTATTCATGTTTTATTTTATTATATTTTATTTCATTACTGTTTTTGTAGAGCCCACATTATCTGGTGCTATATCGTTACCACCACACTTAACATTGTATCAGTTTTGGTTTTATCAACATTTTAAGATATATCAAAGTTTTACTGTATACACAAACCAAAGCTTAAAGGGACCAGTCGGTCTTGAAACGTTACGACATGTTTAATATATACATTGTTTGTGTACAAAGTAAAACTTTGATATTCCATATTTCCAAACTGATGAATCTTATTGAAAACATTTAATTTTAAGATATTTGTTATAAAAAACATGATTTTCATTGGCTACAGGGACATCATATGATCTGTTGCTGATTTCAATTCCAGAATTTGACTCCCAATGTCCAATTTCAAAGATATGATACCATTCAAATTAATAGGTTTTCTCCCCAAAAATGATTTGAGATTTGCTGTAAGACTATATATAGTCACACATTTAAAAGTTGATACCATTTTTAACGGAATGATGTTGCATGCATGCTGAGCTTGCTACAAAAGTTTTAATGCATGTGGTATATTGAGTACATATATTTTCGTGGGATGTTAGTTTCTTGTAAATTCATGTTAAGCTGATTCAAGCATTGATCGCGGATTCAAATGTTGTGTAAACAAATATTCAGGCATACAATGTGTTGGACCTCTTTGCTAGCCAAGGGTTACAATCTGGTGTATCTACAAGCGTAAACCCTAGAGTATGAGGATGGTTTCTGACCTGGAACTGTAATTACTGTCTTCTTAAACAAGACCCAAAGAGTCTGTGTTCTGAGGTTGATGTGTGCAGAATATAAGTAAAGAAATGCAGTATTGGTACACCATTGGATATTGTTTTAAATAAGGTGTTAATTGTTTGAGGATAATTGAGACAAGAATATCAAAATTGGTGATAAATTCAACATATATTGGTCTTAAAGAAAGGTAGATTATCAGTTGTAAGTACTCAAACACATTCTTGCCCCATTGAAAAATAATTTGTGTGCTGCGTTGGTTTTATTTTTCATATGGAAAAGTGTTGTTTCATGGTAGTAAATTATGCCAAAATATATATACCTGTAAGTGCTTTCATTATTAAATAAATATTATTAAAGTGGAGTGTTTTTTTATTTATTTTTCATTGGACATGTTTAAGGTCACCTGAGGCTCAAGTATCTGTCATTTATTAACAATTGTTGTTTTTCGACATCTTTTTAAAAAAACATACCCGGGGTAATACCCAAAATGAGATGTTTTCAGGTAGCTGGAATGAAGGGCTATCAAATTTTTTTTAAAAATAAATTACCTTGACCTTTATTCAAGATCACATATGTTAAATTTGTTAATCTCTTCAATAATAATAATAATATACAACATTTATACAGCGCCCTATATAATTTGTAAAATTACTTTAAGGCGCTTTACAACATATGGATAATAGTAATGGTTATAATTGTGAAAACAAACAACAAAGGCTTGCAATTACTTTCATACATTTAAAAAGCAATGTGCACATAATTGAACAAATAAAAGGGTGGTATTTACATGATGTCTTTGCAAAGATTCTAAAATGCAGACGTGAAGAGGTGAGTTTTTATGTCCCTCTTGAACTTGGCCAGGGTATTCGACTTCCTAATAGCAGATGGTAAGCTATTCCACAACGTAGCCGAAACCCTCCCAAAGCATCTGTTTCCGTAGGTCACAGTACGAGATTTTGGGACACACAACAAAGATTCTGACTCCGACCGCAGTGATCTTGACGGCTGATACAGGGTAACAAGTTCCTGTAGGTACTGAGGAGCTGTTCCATTCAGTGCCTTGTATGTGTATACCAGAATTTTGTACTGCGACCTGTATCGTACAGGTAACCAGTGCAACGAATAAAGCGCAGGTGTGATGTGCTCTCTCTTTCGAGTACGAGTAACTAGCCGTGCTGCAGTGTTCTAGACGACTAGTTAGTTTGTCAGATATACCACAGAGCAGGGCGTTACCATAATCCAACCGAGAGGTAACACGTGAATGCACCAAAATCTTGCATGCATCTGCAGTTAGAAACTGCCGAATACAGTCGATGTTCCTGATCTGGTAGTAACAGGATTTGGCAATAGCGTTCACTTGTTTCTTCATGTTCAGAGAACTGTCAAAGTATACCCCTAGGTTTTTAACAGCTGAAACAGTCTCAATAGTTCTGGCACCAACCTTGAGCTAGAGAGCCATTGTTTGCTGACACTTTGGGGAAAAGACGATTAGTTTCGTCTTTTCCTGATTAAGTTTAAGCATGTTGGCGTTCATCCAGATACTGATATCTGATGTCAAATAACTTCAGGGTCATATTATTTGAACATTACCAAAATAACTTGTTCAACTAAATGACCATGACTTTTATTCAAAGTCACAGGGTTCAAATATGTTAAAATCATTAAATGACTTCTCAAGTTTAGGATACAGATGGTCATGATATTTGAACAGTAGTTAGCTTGGATTAAGAGCTTACACTTTTTTTAAAGTAAAAGACACATACATGTACATCAAATTTGTTAAAAAAAATCAACTACATCTCAAGTTTAAAGGCCATTATGATTGACCACTTGATATCTTAGATGGTTGGCCGAAAAGTTGTTAAAATAAATTGCATTGACCTTTGTTCAAGGTCAGTGAGAAAATGATATATGTTTAAATCTTTGAATGACTTTTCAAGTTTAAGAAGGCCTTGCATCTTAACATTTGACCAAATACATATCTTGGATGAAGGGTAATCAAAATCTTTTGAATGAATGACCTTGAACATCATTTATGATGTCAGGGGACCAATATATTAGAATTTTAAAATGACTTTTCAAGTTCCAGAACACATAGAATCATGATTTATGACCAATAAGTAGTTTGGATGGGGGATATCAAAGTTGTTGAAGTAAATGACCTTGACATCCACTCATGGTCACAGGGGTCAAATATATTTGAAATATTCAAATAGCTTCTTATCAAGTTTAAGAAGACATAAGGTAATTATGATTGGCTGGGATGAAGCCCATTAACGATGTTAGAATGAAGTACCTTTGCTTTCAATGAAGATCATACGGGTCAAATACGACAACATTTTTCTATTTTCTACAGTTTTGAAAAACTAAGGATCATGATATTTGGTCAGTATGTTGCTTGAGTGAAGGGCTAGAAATCAAAGGTATTACATCAAATGACCTTGATACTTTAAGGTCGTCACACGCGTCAAATGTATTATAGAGTCTTAATATTATTTTTCACGTTCCAGAAAAAACCTCAAGTCATCATATTAGACTAGAATGGAGCAAGAATAGAGAGCTTTCATATTTGTTAGTATCTGTAAATTATTCCTTCTAAACTCAGAAGACCTAGTTTCATATTTCACCAGTAATTAACTGGAATGTTGGGCTATACTATCCGTGAAACTTGCTCCAGTAAATAACCTTGACATTTATAGACGGTCATAAAGGTAAAATTAACTAAACTCTTCTATTGTTCCAGAAGGCCCAGAGTTATGATATTTGACCTGTATGTAACTGGGAGAGAGCGATATCAAATTTTGTAATGGCAAATGATATCGCGATCGATTTCCATTCAAGGTCACATGGGCACAAATATGTCAAGATCTAGGGTAATGATATATATTTCTGGTATTTCTCTGGGATGGAAGACTACCAAAGGTGTTAAAATAGATGAATTTGACATCCATTCAGAGTCGAAGAGTTTGAATTTGTTAAAGACCTTCAAACCACTTATATTAAAGAATCATAAAGCTTGTGATTATGATATTAGACCTGTAGGTGTTAAAGATGGAACACTATAAAAGTTGTACAAATAAATTACCTTGAAATTGACTCAAAATATGAAAGGTCACAGGGGTGAAATCTGCTAAAAAACTTTCTGATTAAAACCAGAGTGTAATTTATGATGCGTAGCCATTCCCATCTTCTCTCTAAGGTCAAGTGCCAAGGTATAACTTCAATTATGAGAGTTGGCTGGGGTCAATGGTCAATTCCAGGATGATGTTTCAAACATTTAAAGACTGCTTTTCAAGAACAGCCAAATTCCAAACAAACCAAGCCAGTGAAACAAACAATAAGAAAGGGCCAAACTAAATTGGCAAATTCCAAACTAATTTGGAAATCCAAATTACCTACCGTAGAAGAATTTGGGGCAGATGCGTAAAACCCCGAGATTTATAAATTTCAAAAACTAGAGGAGTACTGGTCAATTTCAAATTAAATCATTAGAAAAGCGTGTATATTATGAATTGTGCCACTTCTCAAAGAGACAACTGTGACAATAAAGGTTACCGCAAATATCGGAACTAAAAATCCGCCAGCAGAGTCTAACGTTACAACCTTGTATGTTGAACGATAAACGTTACACACAGGGGATTGCACCATTAAATTTTGGTAATAAATACAGTTTGTCCTAAAATGAGTTCGACACTGCATCATACAGCTGTTTCGTCCCTCTAGGACCCGTCGGTGATGCTAGTGACCAAAAAGTGTTGGAAATCTAAATTGTCTAAACTAGGCCTTATCTCGTTAGGAACGAATCCAACAATGTCTTTTAAATATTGTGTAACGTACTCGAAGCAGTAAACAGTATGTACATGTATTTCTACTTTTCCTGAATTTTAAGTTAAGCATAATGGAGAACAAAAACAATTGAAGCATTGAAGGAAGTTATCTTCGGAAATTCCCGAAGAGGCCCGAAGATGTCCGATTGGCGACAAAAGCGTCGACAGGAAGTTGCGTCACAAGAACAACGACGTCATTATTTAGTCACGTGCATCTTTGTGCCAACGAAGACCACAGCGGCAGTCACGCAAAGTTTTGTTAGCGCCAAATTTGAGCTTTTAGCAAATTTATCAAAAAGAGAGTGTACTTTTTTTCATTGGAATATCAAGATAAGGTAAGAAACGTCTTTTATACATTATTTTTTGATAATATTTCAACAAATATTTGTGATAAATTGCAGATTGGCTGCCTCAGGTCAAGCAGTCAGGGATATTGATTAAGCTTAGGCCTAGATCGAAATCGGCATTGCATTATAAACAAAAGTCGAAAAACAAATTCTCACTAAGTTGCATTTAATTTTGTTTTAGGTATATCATCTATGTATAAAGATACATTTGCAATTAATTGACGAAATACACACTGAGTTCAACCTTTATTGTTTAACACAAGTCAAATACCATATGATTTCAACCATAGGCGCGGCATGTTAGAAAAAGGTTTCTGTACGTACCCTTCCTATGTGTCGGAATGACGGTTCTCTCTATCTTAACTAACTTATTTAACGGGATAAATATTTGGAAAAAGTGTTCATACATTTTAAGTACTATAAGTTTCATCTCACAGTTATTCAATATCAGAAATGACCATAAGAAATCAGCAGAAAGGGGGCAGAAGGTCCCAGCCAGCGACAGTTGTCACTCGTATGTCAAGACGAGACTGTACAACGATCAAACTAAGGGTGAGTATATTTGAATTTATAAGACTGATACAATGTCTTAATACGATTTAGCACACGTTTTATATAAAATTTATGATCGTCGGCAGAGAACTTACAGTTGAATCAAAATCAAGAAATGTTAAAATTAGTCTTTTTTATATTTGTTTGAACCCCTTTTTTTACTTCATTTAAATTTAAATTCTAGAAATACTCTTTTACGGGAATTTGGCACAACAGTATTGTATCTAAATCATTCTATCAAAAAGATAGATCTACAATTGTATATCAATATCATAGAAGTGTTCTTTTGATTTAATTTTCAGAGGAAAACTCCATCTTCAGAAATAAGACCCGACATCATGAAAAGAGACAGAACATCAACATATTTGACCACCAGATCTCAAACCAAAACTCGGCGATCAACTCACCGTCAAGCTGAAGTGTCCAAACTTGTGAAAACGACCAAACAGAAATTAGACTCATCTACTGTAAAACTCGTTAATAAAAGCAAATCAGAAAATATTCACAAGAATCTTGCAACCAAATTTACCGGAAAGAAAATTGACATTGATCAAGAAAATGAGACCGATGATCCCAAGCAAGCTCAATATTTGTCCAATGAGGAGGAGACGAAACCCAAATGTGTTCAAGAAACAAATGTGTCCAAGGAAGATATAACACTTGAGACAGATAAAGAACAGATTGTAACCAGATTGGGAGAGGGAGATACTAACCAAGGAAATGTTGACGGGCCGTATTTGATCAACTCTATTCCACAAACTCCCAGGCCAACACGGGGTTCGAAACATGACTACGCCCAGCTTGCAGGAATAAAGGTATAGTATGAGTGACATTTCTAGAACTCTTTAGTATTTACAAAGTAAGAAGTCCTGTTTGTCCTATACACATTACAATTTAAAACAAGAATGTCGAATTACAGCAGTGCTAAAATGTCCCGATTCACGTTCTACACAAACAAAGGTAAAGCGCTACACTAGATATATTTGTTTCTTTAACCATTTTTACTTTTTCGAGAATCTGAAATTATTTCTACATGCGAACACTCTACTGCTATAATATGCTAGTCTCATTGATGAAACGTGGGACAACAGGTTGTAGAAATTAAAGTGTCCGAACTTACGAGATTCCAATTTAGAAACTAACCTGTTTAGACTTTATAAGCGGCTCCAATACATACATCTTTACAAAGTGTCTCCGGACGAATGAGGTCCAGATGTATTTAGAATCCAAGATGTCCGGACAAACAAGGTTCACATGATACATGTAACTTCAGTGTCCGCACTAACGGGTTTCTAATGTACGCAGGAATTTAAGAGTCCAGAATAAAGAGGTGTCGATATAAAATAAAACTAAGGTGTGCGGATTAAACAGGTTCCAATGGTAATTCATATAATCCAAATATCTGGACTAGGTCTAATGTGATCCCGCTTTAATGATTTTTACTGTTTTTTTTGTATCTTTAACAGAGACGTTCTCCACCGTCTCCTGAATTACCACGATTCGCAAGGAAAGCCAGACGCCATAGTGATAGAGCTCGCAAAAGGACGCGACAGGTCGACGCGGAAGACAATCTACAGAACGCCTCTTGTATACACCCTACAGATGTATCAGAGGAACACGACCGTGCTGAAGATATGCAATCTCCAAAAGAATCCCAGGCAACATGCGAGAAATTGGTCACACGAAGCAAGAAAAGGCATAGGGACAATGGCGAGAAGTCTACAACAGAGCAACGCCTAAAGATTGTCAAAAATCCGTTTCTTGAAAGAGACAGCCAGCAGAAAACCAGAAAGAGGCTGCTTAGGAACTGTAGCACATCCGCTGAAGCCACGGAGACGGTCTTCTTTGTGTCTCCAAAAGAGAACGAAACAGATGTTGTTGAGTCTCCTAAAGTTCATGAGACACGTGCACGTGTCGTCGAGTCTCCAAAAGCCAAAGATACGATCGTCGTTGAGGAGTCCAGTGAAACTGAATGTGAGACCTCGTGTGAATTGGATTATTATGTCGACGAGGCCGAAACTTCCCCGGAATTTGTAAAATATTTCCGTAAGTTCTATTCGTCTTTTTCCTTTGAAATGAGTTCACGGATATTACATTTTCATAAGACATTACTCTTTTCTTCAAACAAGGTTCTGATAAACATTTACATGTCGTTAGATTTAGATTGCTCATGAATACTTATAGATACGCGAATTGTCTTTTGAAACATATTTCTATCCGATAATTACATTTTGTTTCGTGAATTTATAAATACTTAATTCGTTATGATATATGACTAAATTCATGCAGACGAGACCAGACGTCCACCCAAACCCGAGCCTGATGTTTACAATTGGCCAAAAGAATGGCTGCCCAAACCCGACACCCCACTGGTCCCCGCCGATACATCAGCCCTGGAGGTAAGGCTTGGGCAATCGTTTAGCTGGGGTATTACCTTAACGTATTCTGTTGGGTTTTGCATATTATAAAATTCGTAATCATTTTCCAATCATTTTTTCATGTCTTATTTACTAACACTTTGAACTCTATACTTTCTGCATGACTTTATTTCGACTCTTTATCAATTAAGTTTGAGAACGATTTTTTTTTTAATCTTGTGCAATTTTTCTCTATATTTTTGTTTCATTTCGTTGCTTTAGTTGTTTTTTCTCTTCATTCTTCCTTCCTTCCCTGTCATCCTTGACACTTTCCACCTGTAAGATTGATCCCCAAGTAATAAAGCCACCTCGTCATGTCTTTGAGAACACTTTCTACCTCCAATCTCCACCAAAGATGAGGTCGGAAATGGAACGTTGGAAATTTAATTTTGACTACAGTCCTGAGGTCGAAACAGCTCGGTAAGAAACAAATGATTAAGCAATTTCATTGTATGTTTATTGTTATACCAAAGGTAACTTCTGTTTATTTGTAAAGCAACTTTGGAGAATATATGTCACAGATTTACGTCCTTATACATGTATGTACTACCTCGTCCATAATGCACACCGTTGGTTGGTACACATTGCGTCATTTGACCTTATATGCGTCATATGACCTTAGCTGTTGAGTGTCCCCATCATTAGTACATATTACGTCATATGACCTTAATTGCGACACATCATTAGTACATATTACGTCATTTGACCTTATATGTGTCATATGACCTTAGCTGTTGAGTGGCTCCATCATTAGTACATATTACGTCATATGGCATTAGTTGTTTCATATGACCTTAGCTGTTGAGTGACTATGGCATTAGTTGTGCCATATGACCTTATAGCTGTTGAGTGGCCCCATCATTAGTACATATCACGTCATATGGCATTAGTTGTGCCATATGACCTTAGCTGTTGAGTGGTCCCATCATTAGTACATATTACGTCATATGACCTTATATGTGTCATATGACCTTAGCTGTTGAGTGGCCCCATCATTAGTACATATTACGTCATATGACCAGAGTTGTTGTGAAGACGCTAAGCATACATGTCAATTTATCAACATTGATAGAATTAAAAATAATGTGCAGGCAAATTGTGTCGTTTCTGAAATCGAAAACAATTTATAAAAATCAAAAATGTAAATGTTTACACATGTCAATAACAGGTTGAAGAAGATCAAGGAAACAGAAAGTCAATTGCTGAGTGAGACTGTTACTGGACGTCGCAGAACAAAGATGGAGAAGTTGGCCATCAAACAGGAAGCAAAAAGAATTGTCGACACAGAGGAATACCTGGAAAAGTTGGCAAGATATAAGGACAGGAAGGAAAGGGACATGGAGGTAAGTCTCAAGACTTCCCTTTTATATCTTTAGTGTTAAAATCAAGTCGAACTTGCAGGCAGTACTTGTAATGTTTCATATGAAATTTATGAAACATGTCCCGGAGCTAACAATTTATTTAAAAATTGAAAGAACTTCACAAAAATGAAAAGTTCAAAGACTCGTTTTATAAATCTCAGTTTAAAATGTTAACTTATTAAAACTTCATAGGTACATGTTCAACCAAACTTGATTCATGTATGAAAATTCATTCTTCAAGAATAAATTTGGAAAAAATGTTTTTGGAGACGAAATTTCCGGATTGCGACGTTCTCAGTATGTTCCTTACTTGTAGTATACTTATATCGACACAAGGGCAACTCATTTAATACATAACGTATAGAGCTGAAGTTCTAAACATGTTATTTTGATGTTTCTCCAGTTTCCATTGTTGTCTTTCATTGAAATCCCAGTGGTTCTGCTCAGAGAGAGCGTAAACCCTAGAATTTCGAGAAAGTCTTTTGTCTTGTAGTTATGACTTTTGTTTAATTTGATTCATTGATTGATTTATTGGTTGAATGGTTGAATGGCTGATTGATCTATTTATTTGTTTGTTCAGTTAATACGTCATAGAGAACGAAAACCCTGGAATTTCGAGGATGTCTTGTCTTATTTATTTATTTTGCATTGAAGGCGAGCTGTATATCGTGTTTTTTATCCTTGGATTCAATTTGTAAAATGTTCCTGATTTGCTATACTTCCAGATTATGAGAGGCGTATACAAAGAGAGAGACCTTGGAGAACCCCTCGATACAGACAATATAGCAAAAATGGCAATGGACATCAAACGCAGAGTTTACCTCAAATCCATGAAGATCTCTTATCCGGACCATATCCTTGTCGAGGAGAATGAAACGGACAACGGAAACGTCGATCTTGACTTCACCGTCCCCAAAGTAGATACCATCACCAATGAGGCTAAAACTGGCACGAATCAGATTTTGCAGGAAAGTGAAACTTCTCTGGAGAGAAATCTGGGTGCTGTCTTCCATGAAGCCGAGACCAGGCCGGCCCTTGGAGTCAACTATATCTACGAGTCCTACAAGATGGAGAGAAACAGGAAATTGGACCATTCTTATAGTGACAATCATGAACTGCACGCGGAAGGTGTAGGAGGAGAGATGGCCGAGAGTAAACCTCGAGGTGCCGTCAGTGAGCCAACCAAACGTATGACATTATGGTTTGGACACGATAAACACCGAAAAACAGAGCAATACAAAAAGCAGAAGTATTCCGAAGTGATGGCAGACTGCAGCAGCAACTCTTATGGGTCCAATTATGATGCCAAAGAAACGCAAAAATGTAAACCATCGGCATCATATTATGAAAACGAGGCAATGGTTATGCCGTCAAAGTACAGTGAGAGGGAAGAGCCTGATGATGAAGAGGAACGTAATTATGAGGCGGAGGGGGAGGAATTTGAAGAGGAGGCCATTTCCCAGTCTCGTTTGACTTTGTGGTATGGTCACAGTAACAGCAACGCCGATGACGAAGACGAGGCGATCAAACTGATGTGTGGCGGTAGTCAGATGATGAAATTCGATGATGATTGTGATAAAGAAGAGATGACAGAGGGATTTTACAATACTAAAAGTCATTCTACTCTGTGGTATGGCCATGATGAGGTTACAAAATCGGGTGAGGACGACAGTATTGGTCGAGGCACTAAAAGAAAGTTTGAAGAACTGGAAACAGAGGATGACGAGGAAATGGTAGATGATGAAGATGAAGGCGATGAAGAACTAACATTTACCAGGACAGTGCCTTTCCTTCACCTTACTACAGAGGACCTCCCTCTTCGGGTCCAAACCCAGACCTACAAGTTCAAAAGGATGTCACGTGATGCCAAGAGCCCGGATGTTCAAATCGATCGCTGAAACATTAATCGTGAACAATTTAATTCATTCTTTAAAGACACGTATACAGGTCCCTTGTGCCAACTGTCATTATATGTGTTATCATGCTGAGCTAACTTGATGGTCAGAAGTAAAGTCTGGTTGACCACAGCTCCTAACGACTTGTATGTTCAAAGAAATTCAGTGCTTGGCTGGATGTTAATGTACCTCAATATAGCTTTTAACAAGTTGTGAGCGCGAAGTATTCGGGTGCTTGGCGGGATTTAAATGTTGGCCAGTGTCACTTTAAAAAAATTGTGAGCACGTATATGTCACGTAATACAGCTTATAACAAGTTGTGAGCACGAAGTATCCGGGTCCTTGGTGGGATGTAAATGTCACGCAATATAGCTTATAACAAGTTGTGAGCACGAAGTATTCGGGTGCTTGGTGGGATGTAAATGCCACGCAATACAGCTTCTAACAAGTTGTGAGCACGAAGTATCCGGGTCCTTGGTGGGATGTAAATGTCACGCAATATAGCTTATAACAAGTTGTGAGCACGAAGTATCCGGGTGCTTGGTGGGATGTAAATGTCACGCAATACAGCTTATAAGAAGTTGTGAGCACGAAGTATTCTGGTCCTTGGGGGATGTTAGTGCATGTTTGTAGTGTATGTGCGTGGTCTTGGGTTGTCTGAGAGGGATACATGATTAAGTCGTGCGTGAGTCGATATGACAGAAATAACGTTAAGGAAGCTAGCTCAATGGCAATCAGAAACTTGTTGACCTTCAGCTTAGTTCAACACAGTTAAGTTTCAAAGATCATGAAAACATTTGCAATTTCTATTCAGCTATTTTAGATAATCACTTTATGAATATTGAGCGATATGGTCTGTAATTTATTCATTCAGACAACCATACTTTTTTCTTCAACTTTTACATGTGTTTTTTTTATAATTTTATTACATTTCCAATAGCATTAAGTTCGTATACTAGTAAGACTTTTGAATATGTGATATTTACCCTTGATATAAGTTTTTTTACTAAGTATTTCTATTTCTGGTACAACATCATCTATCATTACCGATCTCTTCAGACATCTGTGATAAGTTAATTGTATTGGCTAATCTCATTTCTACATGCAATTCAGTTTATACACTATACATTTCCATTTTGTGCATTGTTGTTATCATCATTTACAATTATTAAAATATTTGATTGTTTATCAGAATCTGTTCGTACCTATTCCATTTGAAACCATAACGATTAGATCTATATGACATTTAATTTTGCGACGACCAATAACCAATCGGATTACTTCGCCCTTTTCCGTCGCGCGCTCGAAAAGTACGGAAATGGCCGAGCGTGGTCCCATTTGAAACAAAACCATTCGACATGTCCGGGGGGATCCATTCTACATGGAATTCACTTAGTGTTATATGTTTCTTTGGTCGAAAAAAGAACCCTCGTTCCTAAAGATGTATCAAGTGGATGTTCTTCAAAGATCCTCTGCTTCGAGGATATTGAACCAAAGTTGATATGCTGCTTACGTATGAGCATCGCAGCACATGACTTTTTTTCCAACTCCCCCTCTTTTTGCACGCATACCGTTTACAGGGACATGTAAATGCGATATTAACAATATGCATGTTGAGACTTTCTTGGTATGTAGGCAATAAAAGGAGTTTCGACAAAAACTGGCAAAATACGTCCTTATATATTGCCTATACCTTATAAACAGTCCGCTTAAATTTCATGACCCTGTGCTACATGTACTTATAAATGTAATTAAAATTACAGCAATGACAAACTACACTGTACAGTAACGAAAGTGCTATTTTGAGAAGAAAAAACACTTTCTGATAGTTTTGTAAGTATTGGATTCTCTGATGTTTGATATTGATCTTATTGTTTGTCGATGTTATAAACTTTTGTCATTTTTAAATGACCGCGGTAATGACTAAAGAAATCTGCAACACATTTCTGCGAGCTTCAGTAGCAGTAACTACATGTACGCTTTAGTGTTGTAGGGGGCGTAACTCGAGCAAACAAATTATTTACCGAGCTCTCCTTTTCTGGAGATAAGAAATTGATTGGAGGGAAACCCCACACACAGAAATAACTACGATGGACGTTATGTTGTGTATTGTCTTTTGAAACGACATATAATTTAAAGACAATGGCCTTTTCCGGGTTTGGCACCGGCAACACAGCTACCCCTTCGTTTGGGACAACAGCCGCTGCTCCGCCATTCGGTTTTGGTACAGCCACAACCTCCGCCGCAGCTCCGAATCTGGGGTTCGGAACAGCTACTGGCACGACATCGGCGGCTCCATCATTTGGGAGTTTCGGGACGTCGACAACGTCTGCTCCATCGTTCGGAGGCACGACCGCCCAGCCTTTCGGATTTGGAGGGGCCCCCACAACGTCTGTAGCTCCTTCGTTTGGTTTTGGAGGGGGGATCGGAGCAACGACGTCTGGGCCACCTCCATTTGCAGGATTCGGTACGACAACAACGTCAACAGGAGGTATTTAACTTGTTCAGTTACAGGTACCTATCGCGAATGAAAGAACCCAAACAACTAATACACTAATATCAGGTCCAGCACACTGTTGAAGTGTTGATAATGTATACCGCAGATGCTCGGGTTTTGGAATATATGTGATATATATCAGCAGGTCCAGTACACTCTGCCGATTGAGCTATACTGAGTATAGCTATAAAGACCTATATAGCTATATACACCTATACATTATAGCTGTATTGAGCTATATTTTCTCAGATTTCAATTTTCATTAAATTAAAGCAAAGTCGCATAAAACAATAAGGTTTATGGTAATGTTGACTACAAAAAGCATACAGTTAGATGTTTATTTTCATTTTTCATAAATGTAAAATTTCCGATTTTTGACATCATTATTTTTTAAAAAGAATCCTTATATTTAATGTCTTTTGTTATCAACCTAATGATACAATCTTCTTTTAAAAGCGACTTTGTTTTGTTTTCCTTAAAAAAGAAAATTACTCAAAAAATAGCTCAAAAGACCTATTTCAGATAGGTCAATAGAGCTATTACAGGTCTTTACAGCTATATAGCTCAATCGGCAGAGTGTACTGGACCTGATCAGTATATCGCACATCACTGTGCTAATAAATAATTGGGTTCTAGAATATATATATATATAAGTAACATTATGATTATTAATATGTTTTGTAAAAGTTATCTAAAAATAAAATATGATGTAAGGTTACAATGTTATAGACCATAAGACAGGCAGTAAGTTTCATAAGTCACACCCAACCTGATTTTAACTGTCCAAAATACATACTTATTAAGGAAGCACGGTAGTCGAGTGGTAGGACGCCGGGCTTGTGACCGAAGAGTTGTGGGTTCGCGCCACGGCACGGCAATGTGTTGTATCCTTGAGCAAGATACTTTACTCGGCTTGTTCCAGTCTACTCAGCTGTAAATGAGTATGTGGTTGGGCAGTGCTAGAATTGTTAAATGCTAACTGTTAGCGCCGAAATGGCAGCTCCGGCTGTATGCTCCCCAGCCCCAGGGAGTTGAGAAATGTACTGGCTAGTGGCAAAGGCCCTATATATATATATATAACCACGGATAATACTTTGTGAACCGCTTTGAGACGACCTACAGATAATTAAATTTTACAACTAAACTAACAAATTAATCACCTTTAAATCAGGTATAGCGACTACCAAAGTGTTTATACATACAATCAGATCAGGAATAAGAGAAAACTACAGTAGGTGTGTAACAAATTCACTGTTACATGTATATACCTACACGGTGACATATAGCTCACAAAGGTCAAAAATTGTTAATCATACAAATTACACATCTTTTGATCATGTTTCCTAGATTGATATTCTTAATATTGACCTTCATGAGCTCATATGTAAAAATAAGGGCTCTCCAGAGAGCTTTTGTCTGCCATTACTGGTATCGAATATATGCTCGAGATATAGTTCTCCAGGAATATTTTGTTTTAGCTAAGAATTGATGGAGGAAGGACTGATAGGCTGCCACTTAACACATGTAGGTGAAAGATAAATCTTTCAGTGCCTCTTTCTTACTTTTCATGAAGTATGTCAGCTTCCTTGGATACCACACATCCCTGCTTTGTATTTATCTTCACTGGTGAAAAGTACAAGTTGAAACAAATTTAATGGAATCGAAAATAAGACAGAAATTATAAAAAGAAGTTCATGTTCATGTGATAAAATCCTTTTAACCCTTTCACCCCTATGTAACTTTAGTAAACTCTACCATATATTGATCTGGATGCGTCAATTATGGTCCAAAGTGGTGAAAGGGTTAAGGTACAGTAAATCAGGAGAAAAAAACAATTCATTGGGCGTGTGACTGATTTCAGCCCCAAAATAGTGGGGTAAAAAAGGCACCCTAAATATGATATCACACTTACAGGTCTCACACTAGGTGGCAGCACCGGTTTTGGAACAGGATTTGGCACCAGCGCAGCAGCGCCGACTGGGTTTGGGAACTTTGGAGGAACATCAACATTTGGAGGCGGTACTTCAGGGTTCAATCTTGGAGGCACTGGTACAACGGGGACAGGTCTTTTGGGTGGAGGAGCAACTGGTACTAGTTTGTTTGGTGGTAAGTGTCTTTGGGCAGAGAATCAGATGGAACTTGTTTGTTTCATAGTACAGTATAAAGACAAATTACGAAATGTTGCAAATGGATACTTATTGAGTTTATTTCATTATGAATGTTACGCTTCAAATATAAGGTGACCAGTCAATTTTTGTTGAACATTTGATGCACATGGGGTATTATCAACCATTCTTTCAATTCCAGGAGTTAAAATCTCTGTACCTCTGGAAATACATCATGACAAAATCAAAATTGATTGATGTCAGGTATAGAAACTGACCAATTGCTAGGCTGATATATAATATTCTTTTAAGACCATTAAGGAGCGACGTCCAACTTCAAAGCCATTTAATTTTACCGTTTGGCATTACGCTACCAAAAGTAACCATGATCATGCAATTGTTTTGATGTACATCAAAAGATCAAGTAAGTGTACTTGTATCATCCACAAGGTGGTATATATGCAGAGCTATCAGTTTCATCATGATTTATTTCTGGGGTACAGAGAATGTTAAAGTGTGTAACCAACGCCTGGACTATTGAGGGTGGGAGTATTATATGTATACCGTTTTGTTTATCAGTTGGAGAATAAATTAATGAAACATTGAAACTTTACTCCTGAAGGAGATGCGTGCAGACATTATAACCAAAATATCATCTTTGATAACTAAGAATTTACTTAAATAATATCTCATATTTGACAAACAGTTAATCAGCAGCAGCAGCAGCAACAACAGCAGCAACAACAACAACAACAACAGAATCTACAGAGTCTCGAGAACCTAACTACTGCCATCACCACGCCACAGCTGTACGGGGATGAACGGGACGCCATCATAGCCAAGTGGAACCAACTCCAGGCGTACTGGGGGACTGGCAAGGGCTACTTCAGTCAGAATGGCTGCGTGACCTTCACTCCAGAAAATCCTTACTGTAAATTCAAGGTAGGTAACTGTAGATGTCATTAGGAGTCACTCATTATGGTGTAGCACGAGTTACCTCTGGCCCTGACTCCAGACTTATAGACAGATAGATGTCCGGTATGGGGCCAAAAACCTCTAATAATCAACAAACCAGACTGATCCGGACCGAAAATTGAATACGTTATTCTTAATAAGAAGATTTCTGGACACCCTCATTTTGTTGATTAGTCACATTCGCTCATGTGGGAAGTTTTGAACGAATGAGGATGGTGTTGGATCCATTTATCGATATGTGTGGTATGTGTTTTGTCATAGTAGATATTTTGTTGTCAGCATCTGAAACTCTCCGATACCAAATGGTGTCAAAGTCTAGTGTCGGGGCTAGAGGAAACTCAGACTATGCAAGGTGTAATTACAGTAATACCTCACCCCTCGTTTAATTTGTCACCTTGTTTACCACATATTCCAAGGTCCCTTTTACTCAAGAACTCTCTTTATATGTTTCCCTCAATTTATCACCAAACCCCCTTCATAATGACCAAATTTCCTTGGACAAATGGTGGCAGTATAACAAGAGTTTACTTACTGTTCGATACCACTGTAAGGTGTAATGACAGCCTTGAACAGACAGTTTTGTTTGGCCTAGTACAGTAAAAGTCACCTGCTGAGAAGGCTTCACTATATGTAGCTATTTGTAACACAGTTAGAAAAAAAATCACAATGCTTAGATGGTACTAGACACAGGGGCTTATTAATGAGTTTTTTGGGAAACAGACCCCGCAATGAAATTGGGGAAAAAATAATGACATAATAACCATTTTAGGAAATTTGGATAATCATTATACCAACTCTGAACACATGAAATTAGATTCTTTAACTTTTATTTAAGCCTGTCTTCATGACAACAGGATCATTCTGTCCTTCCTGCATATTCTGCATTTTGAAAACTCCGTCAATCGGTAGAAATTTATTTAGATATTTATTTAAAAGGTATTTAAAGGGGCAAATTGGCAAAAATTTCAAACTTTTTCGATTGGGAAAGTACCCTGACACACCAATGAATATTGGCTTTACATCATATTCTTACCTACCATTTATGGTATCGTTTACCAGGCTATAGGGTACAGTTGCCTGCCGACCTCCCGCAATGAGGATGGACTTGTGGCAGTCACCATCAAAAGGAAGGAATCCGAAGTGACCGTTGGTCAGCAGCTGATTGTGGATTGCCTATTCAAGATGCTAGGCAGTAAGCCTCAGTATTCAGTGTGTGTGGAAGGCATTAGACCACTACCAGATGACAAGTAAGGAGAATCTGTTCTGAATGGTCACCCGTGGCTTTGTTGTCGAAAACCTGCCGTATAACTCATCACTGCATTGATAAAATTTGTCCGAATTAATTCCACGAGAGTACTGTGTAGATTTTTTAATGAACTTTGTACATTATATCAGTTGTTCACTTAAAATCATTTTCAAACATGTTTTGTAGAGCTATGCCCCTTTATGTAAAATCAGTATCCATACTTTTTCCATAGCTGTCAACTCTCCTCATTTGACCACAGTCTCCCTCGAAACTCCCTCATTCAAGTCCAAACTCACTCAAACTCAAAATCTACACCCTGTGGTCAAATGATTTCCTAGTTACCGCAAGGTGTGTGTAATGATTATAACAGGTGTGTTTGATTCAAATGAATGCTTTTTAGAGTTATTTTGGTACATAAAAAGGGAAAGACAAATTGAGCACAGCAGTTTCAGTCGCGTTTCATGCACTTTCTCCTTATTGGAAATGTGGAATGAGGGAGATCTCCCTCATTGGAGGTTTCAGAGGTTGACACCTATGTATTTCTCCATGAAGTACAGCATATATTTCAATGAAACTTTGCACTCTAAACAAATTTGTTTCAACTCTTTTTCTTAGAGTTATGCCCCTTAATAAAAAAAATGTGTCCTTACTATTTATTTTAATAACATACTGAAAGATTTTAGAAAAATGGTAGGCTTTATCAGTATGCAATGGATTTTTAGTTAATTGTGCATTTATCTTTATTTTCAACCAGAAATAGTCCTTGGAAGAAAATTTAAATGTTATGTACAGCATGTATGAGATAGCATCCAATAAAGTTCTAGTTGTGGTTTGGTAGACTAATTAATAGTTAAATTGTTGCTATAATTAGCATTTAATTTAAATGATTGATATATATATATTGTCTGAAATTGTTTAATATTACACCTGTAAGGTACTTCATCTTGATGTTAAAATTAATTACTCTGCAGGACAGAGCTGGTTGTATACATCCTTGAACGACCTGATCGAGGACCTGCGCGGCGAATCCCAGCTCTAGAAACTGCTAACTTTCTGAAACAGACCAACATCCTTCCCCAGCTGCAGTCCCAGATCATGGCTGAGGATATCCGCCCAAAGACTGGGTTCACCAAAGACCAGCACAAACAGTATCTGGACAACACACCATCAGGTAATTACAAACATATTCATGTATTGACTTTTAAATGATTAGAAATATCTGTGTGTCGCATGGGGGCTCGTAACCAGACTTGACTGACTAGATTACTAGATCTGCATGATTTTCTCCTAAGATTTATCTCCCTTGTTTACTAAAAACTGGTTATATCTATGTATTGCTAGATCAGACTTTGAACCTATTCTGTTACTGATGGAAATTTGAAACATACAAATTCAAATTTTGCGTATGTTTTTAGGAAATTAGAAGCGTTGAGGATTTTAAATGGGATGTACAGGTGGTCATGTTTGAAAGCTTCTTCGTATTCATCTTGCTTTCTTAGTTTGATTTATAGTAGCAAATCCAGGAGATGGTGCTTCCGGAACACCGCCATATCCTTCCCAAACAACCCAAGAAATTCTTAGTTTCTGAAATAAGGTCGTCAATGTCACACACTGTCTGTGTACTTTAGCAGTTAAGAAAAATTGAAATGATTGCAGAATTTTCCAAAACTCTCACTAAACTGTCATGACAAACACTTTTCCTAAAGTAATTTTGTAAAGTATGATGAAGGGATGGATGCTCAGACAAGAAAACAGGATAAAGGGAGCTAATAAGGAAAAGGGTGCTTATTGGGTTAAATACAACATTGAATAATATGAGAAAAAATCTGTCGTCCAGGAATCCACCCCCTTATTTGGCAGCAGGCCAAGCTAGACAACCCAGATCCGGGAAGCCTAATCCCCGTCCCAATGGTCCGATTTAAGGAGCTATTCCATCGCATGAAACACCAGGAACAACAGACGAAGCTGCACCACCAAAGGATGGACGTAAGTAGATCAGGGCCCGTATTCATGAAACCATTCTCATGCTCAAGCATGGATTCTGTGCTCAAACCAATTATTTTGTAACTTGCTTAAAACATGTCAAACAATCAAGGTCATGATCATTGAAAACAGTATAAGGTTTTAAGTCTCTTCAATTTTCTTTTCCAAGTCATTGACAAAATAAGATATTTTTTTTATAAATTTATAATGAACCCAAGAAATAAGGCTTGTGAATGGTTACTTAAATATAGGCCCAGGTCCTTTGAAGAGTTGAAAATGAGGTTTTCAGGTATCAGTGGCAAGATTTTCAAGGATGAAAGGCCATATTTTGAAGGGTTGGAGTACATAGGTCATATGTGAGAAGATCAGGTCATGGAGAGGTCAGATACATGACATTGAGGATCAAATGTTGTGTTAGGAGGGTCAAAAGTCCTGTTCTGGAGAGTCAAATTTCAGCTATCCTAGAGTCACATTTCAGTTATTGTAGAGTCAAAGCTTGGATTATCGGATTGTCAAAGGCCAGCATAAATACAATGAGGAATATCTGGATAAATTGGTCTCTTTGGAATGTCAAGTGGGAAGATATATAAGTTCATTAATTGATGTATAAGCATCAGAGGTCTGAATAAAGAATCTAGGTTAAGTTTTCTAGATTTTTTATACATGGGTTCCTGGATGCAGTCATATGCTGGCAAAAAAAATGAACTGTTACTGAAGCAGAATTAAAGAAATTGTCAACCAATTAACGGAATTTAGTTTCATCACTAAGGAAATTAATAAACAGATATTGATCAAGCTACAAATGTATATACAAGAGTCACTTGTTGACATCCTCATTACACCAGGGGTTACGCTCACTTAAACGCTCTGTACCCCAGGAATATGTCATAGCAAAGTTGAAGGATGAAGAAAGCTATCTGATTGATCTCAGTTAAAAAAGACAATCACTGGGCTGATACCGTCCCTTTCCTTTGAAGATTACAGAGGAGCGACACTTTACTTCAAAGCCAGTTAATTTTGACGTAAACTTGCAAAAGCTGATTTTGTTTGGTGTTCATCAAAGGATCAAACTAGTCTTCTTTGTGTCATTCATAAAGTAGCGTGCACCATGAGCCTTCAACTTAACCATATGACGTATAGCAGGGGTGCAGAGAGTGTAACCCCTGGATTATTGAGGATGCTTATGAGAATACATTGAATGAGATAGTGTATCAGAAACCGAAGTTCAATGTCATTTTTTCTATGTATAGAAATTTGTCAAACAATGACTATACAATGCATGGGAGTATTCCCATGTTTACAGATCTAGACACTTTGTAGTTTACTTATAATGATGGAAATGTGATGTCACTGTCGCTCACTGTTCTATAAATATGTTTGTGTTTCAGATGATTGCCACAGACCTGACACAGCTTCAGCAGAAACAGGTCAGCATGCTGGCAAAAATGGACGAGTATAAACGCAAACACCTGGAGCTCGGCCACAGACTTTTACAGGTAAGAAAACTAGGTCAGTCATGTACAGGTGTGCTAACTAGGTCACAGTCATGTACAGGTGAGCTACCTAGGTCATGTCATCTACATCTGAGATAACTAGGTCACAGTCATGTACATACAGGTGATCTTACTAGGTTATATCATCTGCAGGTTAGCTGTCTTGGTCAATTCTTCATATTAAAAAATTCAATTCAATCACCTTATATGACAGAGTTAGGTCATTTATTTTCTAATCTTTGATTAGATTATTTCCTTATTGATTTCTTTTGAATTTAACCTTTAAACAAACATCATTTTTCATCAAATTTCCTCAGGTGGTGGTGAAGCAGGAGATTTTCAGAAAGATGGGGTACGCTATACAGGCCGAGGAGGAACAGTTACGAGTACAGCTAGAGAAAAGTCAGGCCGAACTGAACCATCCCACACAGTTTAAGGTACGCCGTCAAACTGATAAACATCTCAGGGTTTTAAGTCATAATGAACTTTTTCAGGTCAAATGTAAAATTGGGTCAGCTTTTATGCTGATTAATAGTTCAGGGTCAACTGTTATACCAATTAATATTCCTGTCAACTATTATGCTGATCAATAGTTAATTGTCAACTGTAATACTGATCAAAGGTTCAGGATCATCTTGTACTGTATAACACATCTAGGTCAGCTATTTTGCTGATCAATGACTAGTTTATGGTAAACTGTTATGCTGGTCAATAGTTAATTGTCAACTGTAATACTGATCAAAGGTTCAGGATCAACTTGTACTGTATAACACATCTAGGTCAGCTATTTTGCTGATCAATGACTAGTTTATGGTAAACTGTAATGCTGATCAATAGTTAATTGTCAGCTGTAATACTGATCAAAGGTTCAGGATCAACTTGCACTGCATGATATTTCGGGGTTAACTTTTATACTGATCAGCATTTGAGGATCCCAGGATCGACATGTAATGGTCGGCTGTCACATTGATTCATAGACAATGTCAAAGTGTTATCAATGTGTAATTTCCTTTCCAAAAGGAACCATTCATCGTTGGTGGTTGCGTCGTCCGAAACAAGGTTTCTGTGCGATAACTAGAGTCCCCTTGGGTTGATTGAACTCAAACTTTATAAAGTTCATCTTTACTTCCTAACTAATGGTGCTTGCTTGGGACTGCTTTTTAGGTTTGAAGGTAAAAGGTCACTGTTACTACAAATAGAAAATCTGTTTCCATGCAATAACTTAAGTTTCTTAAGATCAATCGAGCTTAGACTCCATACAGTGCTTACTTACCATTAGTGCTTAGGTGGGATTGCTTTTGAGGTCTGAAGATCAAAGGTCAAGGTCAACATTACTATAAATAGAAAATCTGTTTCCGTACAATAACTGGATTTCCTTTTGGTTGATCAAACTCAGACTTCATATAGTACTCTCTTACTAGTAATGCTTGCTTCGGATTGCTTTTCAGGTCCGAAAGTCAAAGGTCAATGTTGCCGTTACTATAAATAGAAATTTAACTGTTTCCCTGCAATAAGTCAAGTTTCCTTGGGCTGATCAACTTCAAAACTTCACACTGACTGCAGGCGGTACATACATTCCTGTGGAGTTCTTGTATACATTTGAAGACAATTTTGACTTGAACAAAATTTATATCTGATCCCTGTAACAGTGTATGGGTTATACGTATGGATGTGATTCTTTGTCTTATACCCCCCTCCTCCCTTAAAACTTAAATTTCTGCTCCAGATATTTTGTAAGCATAGTATATATCTTACAGTTTCTCTAGTTCTTTGTCTGTTGTATTAGTTGTAGTACATGTACTAGTAAAAGCCTGTAAGTTGTTGTTTTGTTGAGAAGAGGTAATGCATAAGACTGCAACAACATTTTGTGTACAATTGTTGATCCTGTTGTCATTTATCTTTCCAGGGTCGCTTAAACGAGTTAATGTCACAGATTCGAATGCAGAACCACTTAGCAAGTACAAGGACAGATGTTAGTTATCAAATCGATCCCGCTCTACAGGACGAAATCAAACAGGTGAGATTACCTCAGGAGTCTGAGGCTAAGTGTTACCATTTGTATTCAAACTTCTATGAAAAATTTGAAAAGTTGAAACATTTGAATTTCTCTGTAAATATTTTGAGGAATCTAAGAACATGAAAAATGTTCACTTTGCGATAGACATGAAAAATCAGAGCACAATTATTATTTGTTTATGTCAGCAGAGCACAATTATTATTTGTTTATGTCAGAGTGAAACCTTATATCTAAAACTTTTAAAGATAGTACAAAATAGTTCAGATTATCTTTGTGTTGTAGTGCAAGCAGAAGTGACTGTATACCAGGAAACTGTCGCTGCAGTTTAATTTGTGCCTTTTACCCCCTCCCTAATAAGGACAAAGGACTATGGATGGTTTGGGTGTGTTTTGGCTCCCAAATGCATCAAAATTCAAAACCTTTAAATGAACTTTGAAATGACTGTTTCTTTAATTTCGAATACTTCCCATATACTATTATGTAAATATTTCTATATATTTCTAATTATTGTTGCCATGGTAACAAGTTCAAATTTGCATAAATTAGAAAAATTTGATATAGTTTTTCTCCGAGAAACTATAGAGCACATGCTTGAACAAACTTGATATCAAAGGATAATGTGTAGGCACCTGTAATACATCTTTAGGAGAAATATAAAGTTTGTTCAAGAGTGCGCTCTATGGTAGTTAAGAGAAAAACTAGGTGAAAACCTGTCAAAATTGACTGAATAATCAAATTTCAATAATTTATGCAAATATGACCTGGTAACCATCGCAGCCAAAATTGGAAACACAAATAAATATTTACATAATAGTACTGGGGAAGTATTCAAAATTAAAGAAACATTCATATAAAAGTTCTATTGCAGATTTTCAATTTTGATGGATTTGTGGGTCAAAAAAGGCCCAAACCATACATAGTCCTTTTTCATAAGAGCGATTATAAGTAAACATCACAATAAACATAGTTATCAAATATGAAAAGTGAAATTAACACTGGGGCAAAATTTCAACTGGGCGAAAATTTCCTGGTATACAGTATCAGGACGATTCAGGTATGAATAGAGTGACCAAAAATCTTGACGAAATGCATCTGTTAGTTTACGTTCCTTATCCCACCCTAGGGGAAAACACCCTGCACATTTACTGTGAGGTCATGATGGTAACAATTGAATGATATAATGTCTTACGATCAGATTATGCCATATTATAGCTGAACAATTAATCATTCGGTTTAGATCATTTCCCACTGTTGGGTAAGAGAAAAAGTACATTCACCCTAAAGGGGCGAGATAGCCAAATCTCCACCCTCGGGGTAAAAATTTTAAATAGACGAATCATCTACAACTTGCAAGCCTCGAGTTTGACAATTTAAGAATTTTACTCGAATGGAGTTGAGACATGCCCTTCCACATTGATGCTTTTTTGACGTTAGCCAAGATATTTGAGTTGTCCATGATGAGGACAAAATGTTACGAAAAGTACTGTTACCTAAAAACGTTNGTATGAGTATACTTCGGACATGGTTGTATTTCAGGGATCCAAGGTCAAGGCCAAGGTCACACTTGCTATATATAGAAACTTGTCCCGTCCCGTCCCGATTCAATGTAAACACTTAGCAACTTCATTCTTTGACAGATTTTGGTCAAACTTTATAAAAAGGTCAAGTATGAGTATACTTCGGACATCGTTGTATTTCAGGGATCCAAGGTCAAGGCCAAGGTCACACTTGCTATATATAGAAAATCATCAACTGATTCAATTTAAACACTTAGCAACTTCATTCTTTCATGGATTTTGGTCAAACTTTATGCAAAGGTCAAGTATGAGTATACTTCCGACATTGTTGTGTTTCAGGGTTCCAAAGTCACTGTTGCTATATATAGAAAATCATCTACTGATTCAATTTAAACGCTTAGCAACTTCAATATGTTATGGAGATGGTAATAAGATACAGGAAAAACATATTAACATTAAAATTAACTTTAAGTGTAGTACCTTGTGTGTGTGCATGTTTCAGGGTATCAATATCAAAGTGGTTGTAACTTTTTATAGAACACTGAAACTAATTTCACATGGCAGCGGGGGCATTTATGTCTTACAGACATTTTCTAGTTTTAATTTTAATTGATATTTGTTGTTTCAGTTACTAAAACAGCAGCAAGAAGGACTGCGTCACCTCATACAGATCATTAAAGAAGATGGACAAGATCTACAGCTCATAGAGCAGAACCTTGATGCCCCGATCAGACGGTGACCTTGTCATGAATAGGGGATAGCTAATACACATTGAACCCCCTAACTGATGGTGGCACCTAGTCAAGGTCAGGAGGGGATAACTCTACATATAAAGGAGGAGCGGCACAAACCCCCAACTCCAAGAGCAGAACTTTGAAGCCCCAAATGGAGATGAAGACTAACTTCTGTGGCAGTAGAAAATAACTGGGGAAGTGTAATCTTCCTGTGATGCCAAGCAAATAAAAGGGGAAATAACTCATCAATCAAATAGGACTATAAAGGTGTACAACTACTAAGATAGGACATTGTTTCCGCAAGCATCTTAGAAAAGGGGGATTGCTGAAATGACATCGAGTCAAATACCAGACAAATCCTTTTTGTGTTGTGACAAGCTGGATTACATGAATAACACCTAGCCAGTAACAGGGGGTTACTATAGCAACAACATGGGGGATAATATATCTAATAACTTGCTAATGACAACAGTAGTATATAACTTGCGTATTATGATAGCAAGTGAGGACAGGGAACAACAGGTTTGACAAGTCAAGTGTTCATATTAAAACTGTATTCATACCAAACAGAAGTATAGAAAATTACAGGGGAACATAACTATTCCGCAGATGTCTTGCATTCCTATACATATCAATTGTATTGCCTGCTTGGGAAGCAGTTTTTGAAAGGCCAGTGCTAACAACACCCAGCCAGAGAGGTGGGACATTTGGTTGTTGCTTCATCTAGCTATGGGAAAACAAACAATTCTATTTTAACTGACCAGGAAAACCTAGACAAATGGGAGGGAACTCAAAATATGAACAATGACATTGAGAGGGGAGATAACTCTTCAAGCAGATTTGATGTTGCTCCCAGGTGATTATGTGCCTTCTGTGTTACATACAAAAATCCAGCAATGATGGACATAAGTAAACAAGGCGAAAATTAAGCCTTACTGTAATGACAACTGTCAGTTTGAAGTTGTCTGAATGTTTTGGGGAGGGAGGGGAGGTAATCCTGTATCAGCATTATGTAACAGGAATCTGTATCAGACAGGCGTTTTACTAATTGTTTTGATATGAATATGAATGCTTTCCATAATGGATGTTGATAAAATAAATTACAATGAAATGACATCAAATGTTTTTTATTTGAATGAATTTTTCATACAAAAATTATTTGATTTTCATTATTATAAAAGCATTTGAGACAGAAAACAAAAGCACCGATATACAACCTGATTGACAGTAGACAACAGATAAATAACTGATCATATCCTAATATTGACAACCAATATACAACCTGATTCACATCACAATTTGAACTCCTGATAAATAGCATGATTCACATTTTAATTGTGAAGACTGATCTACAACCTCATTCACATTGCTCGACACCTGATAAATAGCATGATTCACATTATAGTTGTGACAACTGATAAACAACCTCATACAACCTGATAGAAAGTAAAAAGCTTACTAGTAAATAGATTTGTACTGTAAATCTGTAATAAAATTTCATATCAAGTTTATTTTGACATATTTAATGAAAACTTTATTCAGAGACAACCTTTGGAAATTCATAAGTTTTTTTATTTCTTATTACAAGTCTCGTAAGGATCCCTGTCCCACTGCACTGTGGTTTTTCCTATAACTGTAGCACAGTTGGGACAATTCTGTTGACTAATTAGCTCAATCAGTTAGAGTGATGGTAGATCAATCTGTGGTCCAGGGTTGGAATCTCAGTCTAGCCCGGTCAAAACTTGTCTAATCCGACCCAAATGTCTGTATTGGTCTTATTAGACAGAGTGTCTGTATAACAAGTTTAAATTAAAAAAATCTGTTTGATAAGACAGGATTATAGAATTTTGTTACATAGGATATCGGAATACTCAGGAATAAGATTAGACAGTATGTCTGAATACTCGGGGATAAGATTAAACTGGATTCCAGAATACTTAGGGGTCAGATTAGATGGGGGCTGAATAAGACAGGTTTCATTTTATACATTTCTATGATTATAAATTATTTTGTAGTTTTCATTAAAATTGAGTTCAGCATGGAGTCAAATTAGGCAGGATATCGGAATACTCAAGGGTCAGAGAAAACAGGTTCCATTGAATACATATGATAGTAAGTTCCAGGTTTTCTACATTCACATACATTGATTTTGTTGGTTTATCTATCAACATCACCTGGATGAAATTAGTTGTCACACGCCACTCTATTATGACGTTTCCATGGAGATACATTTAATCTTGTCATGGTTCACAGCCTAGCTACTATATTATTTGATTTTTTTTTAAATTCAATAATTTTGCATGAAATCAGACACAAGTCAAACAGTTCGTAATTAGTCTTTTCTAGTAAAACAATCAAGAAAAGAAGCAATGGAAATAAAAAAATAAAATAATTCAAAAGCAGGTATGAGGAAAAATACTAAAAACCAAAACAATTTGCTACCATGTTATTGTCCAGTCCTGTATCGGACAATTATAACTACACATTTCATTGACAAAAAAAATATAGGTAAAAAATTATAGAAAAAAGTAAAATATTAACACTAATGAACAATTTTTTCAAAGCAAAGTTAACATCAATCTGACTTCAAATGGCACAAGTTTGTTCTTCTAATCGTTCACACTTTGAGGACTAATCATGATCATTCACATATTGAGGACTAAGGTAACGTGATATAATTAATACAACTGTAACAAGATCGGGATAACGTTCTTCTATTATTGCTGCCTTGCAAAACTGGAAGACCAGCAATTAGCAAACCCTACCCCAATCTTGTTGCTGTTGTATTAATTATATAGTTTATAAAATGGTCATTACAAAACACTGACAAGTCTTTTGTCTAACTAAGCACTGGTGGTAGACATGATCTTCTCGACATAGCTCTGGACATTAACGTGTAGCTGGTCCTTGGTCTCGGCGTACACATCTGTCGCAAGTTTCTTGGCAGCATCACAACTCTTCATCAGAGCCCGATATACAGGGAGTGTGTACTTCTGCTTGCCTGTCGATGTATAATGAATTAAGTAACAAAACAAAGTAATTTGGAATTCATTAAAATGTACTGTGTGTGTTTATCAATTTCTGCAGCAAAATCTAAATGCCTATCTTTCCTTAAGGGTGCCTGTCCCATGGCAGACAAAACACTAGAGAGTTCAACAAACTGATCGACATGAATGGACTAAGATTCACCCTCTTATTTTGCTACAATTTCGTACTGCTTTAAAGTAAAGAATACCTACAAGTTCAAATGTAATGTAAATGCACAATATCAACATGAAAGAAGAGTATCTTGCTAAGGGAAGTAACTCTATACCAGAAAAGAATCTTTAAATTGTTCTCTCTTGTATTCCGTCTTTGTGTATTGCAGAGTTATCCTCTCTTGTGAGCAGGTATTGATTGTTACGTCATTGGTTTGTGTGAGAAATTTACGTTGTTTTCTCAAAGATTGATGACATTACTCTCACAAACAAATGACATAACAATCAATACCTGCCCACAAGAGCAGATAACTCTGCAATACGAAAAGACGGAATATAATACAAGGGAGGCTTCAATAAGAAAACAGCTCTGAAGTGGAACGCTGCTTTACAATTATATTTTAAAACTACATGAAACTGCACAAAAGTGTTCAGAACATATCTTCATGAGTTGTATGATGCTGTATTTTACCTTGGCTGTGAAGGAAGTGACGGGTATTCTCAAAGTCATCTGTATATCCATGTTTGATTGTCACAAGACTCCAACGCATGCGTATCTGGAGAAAAAAGAATAGGTTACGTGAATAACTACCCTCCAATATAAAGAAAAACATTCCTCTGTGCAACATGAAATATTCATTAATATCTAGTTTATGGAAAACAAAAATGGTAAAAAATAATCTACCAGATTATCGAAATGTACTTAAGGATGTAAAATACATATTTATCATATGAATCTTCTTTTCTGAAGACTTCCAACATAAATATATATATTATTTACACTGGGATAATTCTGAAGTTTAATATAAGACTCATTAAAAATGTTTAAAGGGGGATAACTCTTATACAAAATCACGGATACAATGTGAAAACTATCATGACAGACCACCTTGAAGAAATTCATGATTAATAATTATTTACAATGTTTGAATTAAAATGACTAGGTTGAACAACTCTAACAGATGAACCTGAAAATAAAACAACAGGATCATATCTTTTGCACATATATATGCATATAAAGGGGTCCAGATGTGTCTGACGGAAACTAAAATGCTGAATGTTGCTAGTTTTCATTATTTCTTTACATAACAAGAGGCCCATGGGCCTTAACGGTCACCTGAGTTGTGATATATTTATACAGAGAGTTGATTTTTGTTTTTAAAACATGAACAGAAATATTATTCAAACTGAAAACCCCCCAATAAAACCACCTTTTTCAATATCTAGCATACAGAATTAAGACTGAAAAGTATTTAAAACTAACACCTCTAATTCTAAACAAGGAAAATGAAGAAATTTTAGCACACTGACTCCTTTGGGCCCTGCCCTACAGCCCTTGGGGGTAGGGCTGGCTCAAAATTTTCAAAGTATCAAACTGTCAACTCAGGGTTATAATTCCAATCAAGTTAACAACATGTAATATTCAAAGTATCATTTGCCATTATAAACCATAATAAATTTTGCCCCTTCCCCAGGGGTAAACGTGAGACCCTAGGGTCATAAAATTCACATTGGTAAAGCACCATAAAACCCTTCCATCTATCAAGAGTATTTTATTCTACCATACATGTATCTGGTCTTGAGAAGAAGATTTTGAAATTTCAGTCAATTGGACCCTTTTTGGCCCAACCCATCAGCCCCTGGGGGTCAGTCAGGGCTCATATGTGCATACCATCAAACTGCTATCCAATACTTATAATGCTAACCCAAACTGAATTACTTCCAATGGTAATTAAACAAATGTTGGTCCAAAATGTGATTTCTCTATATAAACTATTGCAAAGTTTACCCCCTCCCCAGGGGGAAACGTGAGACCCCAGGGTCATGAAATTCACAATTTTGGTAAAACACTTTAAGACCCTTCCATCTATGAAGAGTATTTGATTCTATCATATCTGGGTCTTGAGAAGAAGATTTCTGAAATTTAGTCAATTCAACCCTTTTTGGCCCCACTCATCAGTCCCTGGGGGCTGGGGACCATATAATTCACGATTTTGGTTGACCTTTGACCATGGAAGGTTGAGGACTTTGTCTCAGGTGACCTAAAAATGTCAGTTCACCAAAGCTATTTCAAGATGGTTAAATAATTTTGTGGACTCTTGAAAGAAGGACATATTATCCTAGAAGATTTTCATTTATTTGTAACAAAACTCTGAAACTGCATTTTTTAAGCTCTGCCTATATTTTGGTCAAAGTGTGTTAGTTTATCGTGGAATATTTCAGTGCCACCTGAACTGTTTAACAGGGATACTCGAACGTGACCTAGGTAACAGAAGTGAGCTTAATCTTGACTTAATCCAATCAAGCCGTATCTGCTGTTTAGTGACAATCTCCTAACATTAACCACAAAAGTGGATGGTACTTAAAGATTCTCCCCAAAATAGTATCAGGATTTTGAAATTAATCTGCTTGGTGAGATTTACCTCAGCATTATCTGTGCCGGATATGGAAGGATACTGTGCCGCCATCTTGGAGAGAGTTGTATCTGACAGTGAATCCTTCTCCAACAGTTTGTCCAGAAAGTGGAGCACCTGGTAGGTCCTCCATGCTGTAACATCCTCACTGCCGCCCTAAAGAGAGAACAACAACTAGATTGAAAATAATTCAGGATGACTTGTACTTCTTTAAAATGAGATTGAGTTATTTTCCAACTGTACACGGCACTGACATATATACTTATAACTTACTTCTCCTTTCTCTGCCCATTGGTCAGCCAAACTATTGGCTGGAGTGGTCAGGTCACTGCCTGCGGACAGGTCAGGTGTGTAAGGGGGCCATCCTGGTTTGGTCAGCCAAGTGTCGATAAATTCAAATCCAGGCCTACAAAATGACAGTTAAGGTTATGAATCCTCTGAAATCTTGATAACCTAGCCACCTTCGATCCAAGCAAATGTGGCTGGCCTATGAAAAGTCTAGATTGCTTGGCAAACCTAGCAAAGAGCTAGAAAATATTTGTAAACATACACAACATTTATGCCACTGCCCATTGTTTGATGAAAATGAAGCTAAATGTAAAGTTTGACTACAGTCAATTATATGAAAATATTAAGTTGCAGTGACCTACATTTGATATTTGAAATACTGATAAGTAATATTGTAGTTTTCTTTCAGATTGATTACATACAGGTGTAGAAGTCATTTCTTTCCCCATCTGAAAGTTTCCCCAGGGAAGAAATAGGCTAGGGGTGGGGTGGGGTGGGGTGGG